TGTGGATAGAAAAACTTTATTTTATGTAATGTAATGTATACACCTGAGATAATCGTTTCGCACTAGCGAGAGGGATACAGTTTTCTTCGTCCGGACCAGCTTGAGTACCGCGTCAGGCCGTTATCGGCCTGTTAGCCAGTGAACGTATTAAGCAGTAATAGTTCGATTTAATTCAATTACAAAAACTTTGTAATTTGCTTCAATTAGTGCATAACAATTGGAATAATACTGCGTTTCCATTACTTATTGTCTTTACAAAAGGCGGGACATGTTTTTATACAATTATATGCAACTAGATGTTCGCGTGCGGCTTCATCCGCATGAAATTATAAATTTATTGTTTGCATTTGTCAAATTCTCAATTGCAAATGTCAAAATACCAATTACCTTACTATGGCAATCTTCCTTTCTTGATGTTGGCAGCAACTTATAATCTCTTTCCCACATTAGGGTTTTTATCCAAAATATTTACCCCCTGAGTAAAATGGCGTGAAAATATATAGCCTAAAGCGTGACGTAAGTGTAGTGCTTTTTATTAAAAAAATAATTATTCAAAAATATGCTGTAATTGCTGAGATCTTAGACAACGCTTTATTATATTAGTATAGATATAGATGGAGACAGAAAAATAGCTATCATCAAAAAGATTGTGTCAAGTTGTTTACCGTTATCGCTTGACCTTATATAAAATAGTGTTTGTTTTTCCATGTTAAGTTACCCAAGTGAGTGCACTTGACAGCAAACGGTGACAAGTGTCTCTCAGTCATGTCAGCGTGTCTAGAGATACTTTAAAAAATACTAACAAATTTGTTTCTTGAGAAAGTTTTTGCCTTTCCTTTGATGTTGGATAAAAAAACATGACTTCTGTTGTTTTAACAGTTTTTGTAAATTCAAATAAAGCATAGAAACTGAAATATTCTGTATCTGTGCCTTCTTCTGTCTATGATAGGCAAACATAATTGCTAGGATATCTTTTTTTGACCGACTTCCCAAAAGGAGGTACTCAATTCGTCTGTACGTTTTTTTAATAAGGTGGGAAATAAGCAAGCGGCTACCTAAAGACATTCGCAATAGCGGATACGTTGCCTATCCTTGATCGATGGAGGAGGTACGCACGTAAAGAGGATGTTTCCCCTTTCGTGTCTCCTGCACCTTAAAATCTACTTTTCATACCATCCTTTTCATATAAGAAAAAGGGTGGGAAGGGAAATGGACTAAAGTTGGACCTACACCTACGGGCGTTTTCGGCGAAACTAGATGGCCTTATGCTCCTTTGCCGCATGATATATGAAAAACTTCGTTTTTCTCTGGAAATCACCTACAGTAATTTATTGATACTTTATTATCATCCCCTATATTTTGTATGACATGTGATAAAACGAGAGTTTTCAATCCAAACCCATAATAAATCGATAATTCATATCGAGAAGTTTCTACAAAATGTGCAAGTATTAATGACAGGTTTCCGAGCCCTTTGCTTCTAACGGAATCCTGTCCGGACCGGATCTATGTCGCAATGAGGCACATTCGCTGTCGTAAGCATTAGGACAGCCATGTCACCATCACCAACGGCCTTGCAACTCTTATAGACAAACTAGCTGTTGCTGGCGACTTCGTGCACTTGAAATTAAAAATATTTCATTCAGTAATAATGTAGCTTTTTAATAGTGAAAGAATTTTTGAAACAGGTCCAATAGCTTTTAAGTTATTTCAATACATGCAAAAATCCAAAAATACGAAATTTTCATCTTTATAAGATATGACATACGTATATATAGACGACTAGCTCTCGCCCGCGACTCCATCCGCGTGGAATTAAAAAAAAAAAAAACGAGCCTATATGTTCATCCAGACCATCTCCTACATCTATACCACATTCTATCGACATCCGTTCAGCCGTTTAGGCTACAAACTTTAACAAACATCCATCCATCTAAACTTTCGGAATTATAATATTAGTATGAAGTATTATATACCCGTGGAACTGATCGTACCCATGGATATTTTTTTTAGTTTTCGAGCAATTTACCTAAATATATCTGTTATGTTTAGCAAAAATACTAGAAACTTCTAATTTATCAGTCGTTCGGCATGACATCAAGGCCAGAAACAATTTATCGATTCCGCAGTCGAAATGTTAATGTGTCTCGAGATATTCACGTGCCAAATTCAATTGTTTTTTGTTTAGACCAGAGACACTCAAACTTCAATAGTAAAATTAAACAGTAACAGCCTTACAAATAAACGCAGTATAAAGTTTAACTTAGGAATGAACTGAGTATAAACAAATATTGCTTATAGGTACTCAGTTTATTCCTAAATATAACTTTATACCGCGTTTATTTGTAAGGCTGTAAGGACCACGGACTATTTACACACACGAGGGATGTGATGGATGGCTTCTACATCGACCAGACACAAGTTTCGGGTGCCTTTCTAGAGTACTTCTATATACTAATATTATAAAGATGAAAGATTTGTATTTTTGGATACATTAAAATAACTCAAGGCCAATTTTGTAGTGTTAGGAATAAAATTAGTACCGTGCTATAGAATTGGCGCAACTCTAGATTATCGGCATAAGCGTCACGTCCCTAGCTGACAGCTGTCAATGTCACTAGAAGTATGGTTAGATTGGCGCGTAACTTGAGTCTTGACGAGAAGTATTGCTCTGAGTTAAAAGCGACAGTATCAATTAAATAAGTTGTCTAAAAGTAGTGAGTAACATAAGTTATGATTTTTTTTTAATTTCACACGGACAACAGCTAGTAATATTATAGGAGGAAATCTGTATGTATTGAAATAACTTAAAAACTACTAGGCCGATTTCATTCACCGTTAGAAAGGTAATTTATCTGTAACAGGTTTTATCTTTTATTATTTTGTTAATTACACGGAGACGAAGTCGCGTGCAATAGCTAGTTTTCGATGAACTACATTACTTCAAGTTGCGTACTATCAAAATTTCTATCGATCTCTGACTGGTCTTCTGTAGACCAGAGTGGGTGCACGTATACCACTTTGGGAATCACTGGTCTGGCTACACAAATAGGTACTATATTTAGGTTATGTTAATTTTATGCAAAGTTTTTAATTACAATTCAATTGAGCTACTAATGTTGGCGGCATAAAACAAAATGCTACGGGAACTGATTTACATGCGACTATTTGTCTTTTTTGTAACTAGCTGTTCCCATGCGACTTCATCCGCATAAAATTATAAAAAATTCATTTTATTGTTCACATTTGTCAAGTTATCAATTGCAAATGTCAAAATGACATAACATGATGTCATACGATGGCAACCTTGCTTCCTTTATGTTGGCAACAACTTATGGTCTCTTTCTCACATTAGGGTTTTATCCAAAATATTTACCCCGTAAGTTTAATGGCGTGAAAATATATAGCCTAAAGCGTGACGTAAGTGTAGGGCTTTTTATTAAAAAAAGAATTATTCAAAAATATGCTGTAATTGCTGACATCTTAGGCAACAAAGAAGTGTGTGTTTACACTTTATTATAATAGTATAGATGTATAGATTAGAAACTCAGTAGGGAGTATCACTTTAAGTTGAGAATTAGGAATTTTTGGATGATCAATTACAATAAAATATTTTAAGCAATATTAGATATAGTTCAGAGGTCAAGAAACACAAAAAATGGGCGTAATGACCTTTTTGTCTAAAGTCAGGGGTCAAAAACATTTTTAATAAAGATCATAAAAGTCATTATTTGATTTTTAAACTATAATTTGTAAGCAATAATTTTTATTGTAGATTCAGCATCGACTGACCAAAGGGTTCGTTTAATACGAATTAAGGATACAGAGTGCATTATTTTTTTACAGCGATATATAAGTTAGATAAAAATTGATTTATAACGACAGAAACGTCAGAATGTGTAATTATAAAATCACTTAACCTTGAAGTGATCGAGTCGCTTCCTTATAGAAACAATATATTAGTCAACAAGGACGATAGGTTCGTGGTAAAAAAAAATATATCGATTAAAGTTATTAAATAATATTTATGTAAATTTTAAAATTGGGGTTATAGCGTTTTTTGGGTCTACGCAAATTACGATAAACGATTTTAGAATTTTTTGCCTAATAATTTATATAAATTACAATTTATCGTGACCTCTAGAGTACTATCGTAAATAGTAGTTATAAATAGTAATAATTATTTATCAAAAGTTTATAAAACTATTCATGGGCGTCACTAAAACGGGGATAGGGAGAATAAAAAATGTCAAATAGATATAAAAACTACTTCAAATAAGTCCAATGAACATATTTTTTACCGACTTTCCAAAAGAAGGAGGTACTCAATTCGTCTGTACGTTTTTTTAATTCTTTTTTTAAATACCACTCATTTTTACCTTAACCATCCTTGATGGGTCATAGGATATCTAAATGAGAATAAAAGAGTTGTATTTAGCATTCAGTAGACAAATATCACAGGCTGATAATAATCAAAATGTTATTGGAGCCATTAATTTTTTTTTCAATTCATCCAAAATAAAATTATAAAAAGACTAATAATTTAAGGTGTACCAAATGTTTGTCATAGCTGAAATCATAGACGAGAATTTAAAAAATAGTGTATAAAATGTTATATTTTTGACAGACTTCCCAAAAGGAGGTACTCAATTCGTCTGTATGTTTTTTTATGTTTTAAACTACTACGACCTAAGTTACATTACTAACTTTTAATATAAGGATAAATTATACAAAAATATAAACAGCATGTTAACCACGTTTTCAATATTAAAAAAAAAATACTATCAAGCAAGTGTTTTAGTAAAGACAGATGCTATGTGTAATTTAATTAATAAAAATACTCCTGATAAATTAAAATTGCATAAAAACTTTCAGACAATTTATAATAATGCATTCCTTAAGTAAAAATATTAAACTAAAATATTGCATATATACTTAAAATAAAACTCACAAATTTATTACTAAAGAAACAAGTAAACGTTACAAGTTTTACTACTTACCTAAAATATACGCAATAAATACTTCACGTTTGATTATCTTTTTTAAGTACCTTTGTAGTAATACTTCTTAATAGTTCTACTAAAACAGTATAGAATATTGAGTACACTATATACTAAAGCACTAATATATAATTTAGTCACAAAACGGTATTTCTGGAGTTTATTATTATTTTGAAATACAGCTGACACTTCACCTTTTGGCACATACAAAGACGACTGTTTTGCAAAGTGTTAATTCGAGAAGAAATATTATTTATTTTACGGGATAAAAGTAATTGGTACTCTGTAAGGGAATCAGCAAATCAAACGCCTTCTTTCGATTTGGCAGACTAATTTAAGCCAATCAAGAGCTTGAGAATTATGACTCAATTGACAGTTTTGGTACACATTGACAGTGAATGATTTTAGTTGCCATATAAAACATGTTTCTTTTAAATAACATTTGAAATGAATACCTATTTATTTATGAAATTATTGCTTTAAATTGGATTTTAAAATAGAAACTAAAATGGTTATATTAATAAGAGATATTAAATAACATCAATGAAGTATACGATACAAAGATTAAACAACAAAAGCAGAAGAGTTGCGAAGACTAACGAAAGATTTTTAAAGAATGAAATAATGATAAGAGAACGCTTCATTTTCTACGCAGATTTTCTTGTAGTTTAAAATATAATATAAAAACCAAAAAATGTTAAATATAAAAACCAATAAACCCAATTGTAACCAAATACCTAGTTCTATATTTTATGCAATCTTCTTATTTCTTCAACAATACAAATACACTTAATTTACCTTTGTTTTACTTTAGGTTGTATTTGCCACCCATTTTATCTTTTTTTATCTCATTTTGAATATAAGTTGGAATTTTGAAAGGCCAAACTTTCTTCTGTGTTTCTTCTATTCTTCTAATAACGTAAATTGTTTACTTTTTTTTCATGTAAAAGATTATTTCATAAATCCGTGCGAGAATGATTGCAATATAAATGCAATTTTATAGAAATTTTAAGTAACCCGCCTTTTGTATCTCACGCCCAGTTTGACGTCACGCTACGGGGTTCTCAAAGTGATATTACCGCACCCAATTTCACTTTGTCTGAAACGTTGTAAGTGAGTTCAGTAAACCTTTAAATGTCTCATATTCCCTGGGAAAAGAGTTGAATTTTGACCATCAACAAATTCTAGTACCCAATTCAGCCACTAGACTGCGCTCCCGACTCAAACTACACTAGCGCAGAACCCACCAATCACGTCCCAGGAACTTTGACGCAATTTGCAAATGGCCGTGAAAAGGATCGAGCTCCAGGGTGTATGAAATACTAAATGGTGGATTTGTCCGTGTTAAAAACTTGTGAATAATTCTTGGTTCAGTGTAGTGACGTTTAAAAAAAGACAAAATGTGCCAAAAAAATAGAATCCTGTTGTAATAGTGGTATTTGAAGCGCCACAGGACTGCTGCTGGAATAGTCGAAGATACTGCTGATTGTGGGGTAAGTTCCTTAATATTCCATCACTCATACTATACGTTTTATCTGATTTCCAAGTTAAATTTCCATCTAAATCGAGTTTATAACTAAATTAAGGGCGTGACGTGTGAAAATGAATAAGCAATCGGTTTCGGGAAATGGTTGTCGCCCGGTGAATGCGTGGTACACCCATTATTGAAAAATTGTATTGCTACGATCAATCGATTTGTAAAAGCTTCATTATCATTTCTGATGGTTTAAAAGGTGTTTATTCTACAAAAGATTGGAAGTGTGTCCTTATTTGACGTAAATTGGACATAGTACTATTGGGTACCTATACCTATAGGTAATATGTGAAAATTTAAAGGCTGGGTCTCTGTTACTATTCGCATTGTGAAATTAGCTTTTGTCGTTATTGGCGACAACAATTCTTAGTCGGATTTAACATAAGTATGTATTTTGAAGTATTTTTCCTTCTATGTATAAAGGGCGATGTCTCGTTTGTACTTGCAATCCAGGCGGATTTATTTGTATTTTAACTTATGTAATTGATTATTTTGTTCGATATAGTATTTACAACATTACGGTTTTGAATTTCGTTGCCAGTATTTACGAGAGTTAATAATTGAATCACTTCATACTTATCGATTTTTTACATCGTTCTCTCGTAGCTTGTAACTTGTTTTAATCAAATGTCTTTAATTACGATATATGATGTTTTCTTAAGTGTAGGAATAAGTTTGTATGATATTGAAATATAACTTCATAGGATTTTGTGAATTTTGTTCTATACATCTGTATAGTATCATATATGATATATTGTGTTATAAAACCTCCATAAGTTCACTTTAGCTTTTAGCATTACATATAGATGTAGTTTAAATGTGCCATTTTAGTTTTGTTCACAAAAAAAATTATATTAACCCATTAGCCAAAAATTATTAAAGTACTAACAAAAGGGCTCAGCTTTGCTGTTACCAGACCAAATGTATTGCAGATTTAGATTTTATTACAATGTCACACATTAAGGTAAGTTTCTACTGTTAATCTGTATTAAAAATATTTCTATCTTCTCTCTTCTACTTTAAAGACAACTGTATTGTATTGTATGACAGGTGTGTCGAGAGTTGAAATCCTAATAAGCTGGTTACATCTGTTAAAACTGACTATAAAGTCAATGCAGGATCTCTGGTAAGGAAGGTGCTACCATCATAGTTTCTATCAGAAAGTATATCAAATCTGCATTTATAGAAAATAGCTTCTGTCGAAAAAAAAAAAACAAAAGTGGGCAGTCTATGTGGTCTTCCAGGCTATCCTCTATGTCTGAGCCAAATTTCATCATGATCTGTTCAGCCGTTTAGGCTACAAACTCTAACAAACATCCATCCATCCATCTAAACTTTCGCATTTATAATATTAGCAAGATGATAGAAAATAAAGACAAGATGACGTCAGTACAAAAACCCTCTTGTGGTACTTTTTTGACAAGAGAATGCTAGTAAGCTGGTATTCATAGTCCTATGTCCCTGTCGGACTATAAGTTAAAACATATAGATGGGTGAAAGGCTATTTGTTTTAAGCACCATTAGGATAAATGTTCGGGAGAGCCATTTAAAGTTTTAATTTTTAGAAAAGAAAATATAGGCACATCCCGAAGATAATTTCAATTGAACGATTTCTAGACCAATTCTAGATTAAAATTACTGTAATACGGCATATTTCCGTATTTATTTCATATTTAAAATTCACTGATTTTAAATATATACATTTGTCAATATCGCCTAAAATGGTGGTTGACATAAATGGTCTTTCACATGTCAATATGTAAGTAGGCAATGTAACTGTCAGTTATGTTATACATTTCTCAATTTTGTCATCACATACGTTTTGACTAGAGAGAGAGAAGGAGAAACAACTGGCACACCTGAAATATGAATTACCAACTTGATTTTATTATTAGCTGTTTTGTTAAAGAAATTGAATAAATTACTGAATTATAACTCTAGCTATGAAGGTTCGACAAATAGAATGGTAATGTGGCATAGAAAAATGTGTTTACATTTGTATAATGTATTATGCATTCAAGGATTTTTTACTATATTTACGATATACCCTTGTTTTATTCAATAGATGGATAAATCTAGATGAGGTTTACTTAGAAATCTATCTGAGTGAAGATGTTTTAAAATTAAAGCATTTGTTTTTAATAACTATGTAAAGAAGTACAATAAACTATAATAAATAAAGAAATATAAAAAAAAATGAATTAATATTAGTCATTGGTTCAGTAAATCTATTTAGATTTTTCAGGTTGTTTTTGTTGCTAGCGGAAAAAATATTTGAAAATTCCATCAGCAGTAGATATGATTTGCCTATAAAATATTTTCAATGTTATTTACACTTGATTATGTTCATATCATAACAGAATTATAAACAAATGCTTGTTGTTTTAATAATTTTTCATGAGAAAGCAGAATGTTTCATATGAATGCAAACATGCATGCCTATCTGTCTATGCATCAAATAATGAACTGGCTTGTTTTGTGACAACAATTCTGTTTTACATTGATTTGGAATTTCAGATTAATTATCTCTTAGAGTAGATTTAATTAAGCCTATTTGTCAATTTAAGTAAATTGGCCAGTTAAGTGGTTTGATGTATGCATAAATGGATAACAGCTCATTGAAATGAAATTTTAAGAACTATGCTGTCTAAGCCGTATTTACAATATAACAGATGGCATATTTTAATGGAATTCAAGCATGGTTTAAAGGCTCTTACATGTATAAATGTAGTTTCTGTTGTGTGCGCTATTTAAAGTGTGATAGAAGAAATATAAGGTTTTTAATTTTATTGTTTTGAGTTATACAAGAATTATTTTTCATCTATATCTCTATATGTACTGTATAGTTTATTACACTTGCAACATTTATATTAACACACCTACTTTACAGTCAGTTCTACAATTTCATTTATCTATATGATATACTCAAAACAATATTATAGTCTAACTAGTTTACCCGCAACTCTGTGCTAAATTAGAAAAAAAGAAGTAGCTTGTGTCTTCTTCCAGATTATGTTATACATATGTACCAAATTTCATCAGTTTGCTGTTTTAGAGATTCTTCTAACCCTTAATTCAAAAGTGTCCTGTGTGATGAACAACTAAAAAATCTACCAAGGAACAACTTGTCATCAAAACTCTCCGATTTTTAATATTAATATGATAGACAGTAGAGCAGTTGACAGTTTGTCTGCAAGGTTGAATGTCCTAAAATTGTCAAAGCCATTATATATATGGAACAGGGCTCCCCGCGTAACACTTCCTTATTGACATACTGGTACATAATGTCACATTGCTGTTGTGATGCAGTCATTTATATACAAGTGCATGTAATTGTGTGGGGTAGACAGAGACAGAAGGTTTGACACATTTATATTTAAGCTCTCTGCAGACATTTAATTTTGTCGCTTGAATTGTTCAGTTATAGCTTTCCATGCACACATAAAGTTTGAATTGATCAGTTTGTGTTCTATTAAAACTGTCAGTTAGAACTGTATGTAGTGGGCATTGGTTCTCTAAGATAAAGAGTCACATGCAATTCTTTCTTCATAACATGATCTTGTTTAGCGCTTTATAATTTATGTACTTACTTAGAAAAATTAACCTCAATAAATAGTTTCTTACAATGTAGTTATGCACCTGTTGGCTAATTTATCTGTTTTGTGTATACTTGTTCTATTTTCCTATGTAATTGTGTGATTAAATTAGCTGTTGTGTATACTTATGTGAATAAATAAATAAATAAAAAATAAATAAACATTGTAACCTTTTTGCTTCCTAATAGGATCTTATCTATTGATTGTAGAATAATTCTATTGTTATATCAATTAATTATATTTTCAAGTGACTTGGCTAGGGCTGTGGCGCCTTTGTCGCGCCGCCCTCAATAGCGGCTGTCTTTGATTAAATTCACCTAATCATATTAAAAAGATTAATTGTATTGTAGTTTAGTAGATTTTAAAGAATATGATAGAAGATAAGATTTGCGGAAGCTATTTGGATTGTAGTTTTTAGTTCGATATTTTAATTATAGATGTACTAGTTTTCGCCCGCGACTTCGTCTGCGTGGAATTAAAAGAAAACAGAAGCAAGTAACTTTTGTGTTCTTCCAGACTATGTTCTACATCTATGCCAAATTTCACACAGATTCATTCAACCATTTAGGTTACAAACTAATAAACATGCATCTAAGCGTTCGCATTTATAATATTAGTATGATAGATTATTTTATTATTGACAAATGTGAGTAACATTTGGCGGGGAATCAGCTGATTTGAGCTTTGAACTTTAACCTAGGATAAATGTAACGATGACTCAGCAAAATCATGTTGGCATTGTTGTCAGTTGAAAATATACAAAAGGTATGGATGATCGTTTTTATAGATAACTCAAGTTTCACTAGCGCCAGTAAGTTTTGACGTAATAGGTGTATGCCAGCGCCGATTTTGAGTGGTATTAGCCTCCCAATGTAATGTGAACCAGGCATAGGTTTCTTGTAAGTACAGTAAACCACCCACTTTACAGGAAAATCGCAATGTTTATTTGTGAACCGACACCGTGTAACACATTTGAAATGACGTTTACTCACTTTTATAGATTTCTCTGCTAACGCAATGATTTATGTTATTTTAACTATTGACGTGCTATTTATTGTGAAAATTGTACTCCGTTTGAAATATTTTACAAGGTTTTTACCTCACGATTTATACAAAATGATATTTTAGAGAGAATTTGTAAACTATAAGTACTGAATTTTTATAGAAACGTATGTTTACAATTTGGTTAATTCCAAATGTGGTTTGTTTTCATATTTGATTTCATAAATCATTAATAAATTAAATGTATAAATATGAAATAATATTACTAAAACATGTACTTTAAGAAACAGAAATAATATGATTAGTGTTATCGATGTGACGTTATTATTAACTATTTAACAGCTGATCTCATTAAGACTATAAATGTTTTTTTATAGTAATAATATTGTTATCGACGACTTATGTGACGCGGTGGGCAAGTTAAACTACATTAACATACGTAACTAGCGCCCTATATCCAAACTAATATTATAAAAAGGAACTATTTGTATTTTTAGATTTTTGTATGTATTGAAATAACTCAAAAACTACTAGACCAATTTCAAATATTCTTGCACCATTAAAAGCTACGTTATCAGGAACCTAGGCTGTGTTTTTACTATTTTTTTTAATAGCACGCGGGCGAAGTCGCCAACAGTTAGTAGTATATATATTTTCTGACGGACTCAACCGATAGCAGCGTCTCTAAGTGGTCTAGACAATTTTCAAAGTTGTTTTTTTTATTTTTAGTAGATTTTGTTAATATATACTATTATAATAAAGCGTAAACACACACTTCTTTGTTGCCTAAGATGTCAGTAATTACAACATAATTTTTAAAAACACTTTTTAATTAAAAGGCTACCGCGACACAAAAAATATCACCCTTTTGTCACTAAGGCAGCCAGAACAAACTTGGGTCTTTACTCACCTATAAATCGGCTAATGGCCACATACAATGCTTTGCATAACTCTTGTCCCTACACTTGCGTCACGCTTTGGGCTATATATTTTAACGCCATTAAACTTGAGACTATAAGTTGCTGCCAACATCAAAGAAGCAAGGTTGTCATCATGTCATGTCATTTTGACATTTGTAATTGATAATTTGACATATGTAAACAATAAAATAAAGTTTTTATAAGTTCATGCGGGTGAAACCGCATGGGAACAGCTAGTTTACTAATATTTCCTTAACCTCTCCAACTAAGATCTAGGCTTGTGCTGGGATATAGTTCACAATAGTCGAATGGCGGGAATCGAATCCTCGTCCGTAAGATCGCTAGTCTTTACTCGAAACCATTGGCGTGTTTAGTGTCAAATATAGTACATAATCTGTTATTTGTCGATAGTAAATCATTGCACACTTTTATGGTCTGCATCTAACCTGTTTTTGTACTCAAATGTATTAAATTTCCCCTTATCCTGCACATTTCTACTGTTACTCAGAATTAGAAGTGTTTGGGTGTCAATTTGATGACGTGCATGACTCACAAGAAGTAAATTGTCATGCGGAGACGCACCCCAACCGACTTCCGATATTAACAACTGTGTGAAGTTTTAATTTTAATATGGCCTGTCTATTATGTTGTCTATATAAGTATGTTAGTTTTATAGAGTATCTGTCTATTTTGTAAAGTCTATGAAAAATTGAAGTTTTACTTGAATTTCGGTATGACGAAGATAATTTTTAATCCCATATGTACGGGCGGGTATTCCCCCTGCCATGGCAACTGTTTCAATCCACAAACGGACTGAGGTCGTACGTCAATTTTCAAGTCCCTACTCTAGATTTGCGTGTTTGAACTAACAAGGAATAATATTTCAAATTAGGTATTTCCAAAGGTCAGGTTTTTAGGGGTTTAGTAATTTTTAATAGTCTACCTCGATTACTGTTATAACTTAGATTATTGTATTTCAATAACAAAATTCAAAATCAACTTAAAAAAAGCTTGCGAAATGACATCTGTTACAACTAAAGCAACATTTAAATGTGTCACGTATTTTAATGTTAAAACCACACTTCTTCAAATTGCATAAAAATGTAACCACGTCAAATTCGTTTCAATATTTGGCCGTAAATAAACAATGAATGTCCAGTTTTACTAAACATTTAAAGACGCGTGTCCGTTCATTTCAATATATCTATTGTTTCTGTAACATATTCCTATGCTAAGTGGTTTGTAAGACGCAGGTGTAAAGTGACTCTAAATTGACGCACAGACTGACACCCGGACAGGTTACGTAAGCGCTTTACTAACTGACAATGTCTCAATAGTACCATGGCTCGGTGGATATGGAACAAAATTTTAATCCACATCAAGTAAAATGTACTTAAATAACTTTTTAAAAAAAATTAACATCCTCTGATTTGACTACCTCTGATAATTCCGTGGAAATCGTCAAAATCAGTCCAGTCAGTCACAATTAGCAAATATACATGTAAAACATCTTTCTTAGTCTATTGTGTTTGCTGTTAACATAAGAATTAAAATAATGGATTTTGTTTTATTCGTATTATCCTATTATTTTCACCCTTATACAATCTTTTGTCTTAATTTTATTTATCAGTTGTAGATTCAATTAATTTTCGGACCAAAACCTTAACAGAATGTTGCATTAATAAACTTAATTCTTGAATAAACCATTTTCTGTCTCTACCTGAATTAAACAATTGTTTAAATATTTTACTTTATCTGCCCACTGTTGGACAGGCCTTTCCTAACACCTTCAACATTACAGACATGGTTTTTTTTATTTACATAATTTATAAATTTTACACAAACAAGACGTAAGGGATGTTTTACACTGTCCCTTTTCGCTTCCCCAAATAGAACACAATAGTATGACGCAACGGCTTCAAAAGGCGATGCACCTGCCTGTAAACACACCATTAGATAGCCTTCAAGCTCGCCCGTATTTATAACCTGGTTGATGACCTCAGTAGACTGCACGACTTAACTGTTGTGGGGTAAGCTGAATTACCAATTAGAAATAGTATTTCAGCGATTACGTTGAATTCTGTTTAAATACTGCATATATTCTGGTTGATTGTTTACTATTAGTTTTAAAAAGAAATTGATGTCTTTTGACTGTAAAATTTGGCTCGAGACATGTCTATTATAATGTCATAAAGGGGAAAGATTTGTATTTTTGTATGTATTGATATAACTCAATAACTGCTGAGCCGATTACGAAAATGCTTTCACCATTAGAAAGGTAATTAATCTGTGAGTAACATAGGTTATATCTTATTTTATCTCACGGGGACGAAGTCGCAAGCAACAGCTAGTATCTTATAAACCGTTTAACAATGTCATAGACAGTTGTGTGCGTCAATCCGCAATAAACATAGCGGAAAACTCGCATAAAATAATTGTACCGCTATTGTTTGCGAAGCGTTTAGAAATCGCGTGCTCGACCGATGCGCTGACTTGAGTTTATCTCAAGTACGCGGAACTGACTTGTGGTCAAACTTATTTGTCAACTGAACGGATGATGTAGCTTTTAAACTATAAGCTGGTAACCATTTCCTGTGTCCCCTCAAGTAATAACTCAATGTCGAAAATGTTATAGAATACGCTAGCCTGTTCTCACTTCATTATTTGTATTTGGGTCTTTTTAACAAGATCCCTATGACAGAGAATAAGAAACTTTGATAGAGTTGTTTACCAAATCACTTGTCTCACACTCTGGTAATTTTAATTACCGATGTTTTAAATGTTAATTGAAATTTCTCATTAATTATAGTATTTTCTTTGTCTCCAGTTGTGTGGTGTTTGCGCGGCTGTGGTCTCGTGGTGGTGTGTGAGCGCGTGTGGCAACGCGTGTGGCAAACGGAGTGTGGCATAGCGCGTAGCAGCCATGAACGAACTTGACAGCCTGCGCCAGGAGGCGGAGACCCTTAAGAATGCGATACGAGTGAGTATACACATAGTATACATTATAGTAGGGGAGCCGACGATACTAAAAGGGGATTTATTAGAGCATCGTAGATACTTATTGGGATGCAAAGCTTATATGATAAGAAGAAAAAAATGTTATGTGATATATATCTTTACATCGGTGGGGGAAGCGGATATAGATTTTTAAATAAGTAAAAAAAAAACTGTTGCATGGATATAATCCAATTTTATTAAAGTAATTAACGTATGTTAATCTGATCGTTAGCATGATGCGGATGGTTGTATATAATGGTTGAAATGAAAAAAAAGCTCTGATTCACTAATCTAACGATTTCGATGGGACGTAAACTCGCGGCCATTTTCACAATGTGCAAAAAAAAACGCATTGAAATACTCAAGCGCGTCAGATTAAGATATATGTGGTTCATCTTTATGTTCTACACGTACTGTCTCATAATCTGACGATTATCTAGAGGGATTCGCCTGATATGACAAACAAAAATTAGAAAAACGGTTCACCTTAATCTGATCCTGTATCCTTCACGGGCGGCCTTATATATGGTCTTCATGTTTTGTGGAGGTACTTAGCCGGGTACAAAGTATACCCCTATATATTAATCTGCCGCGCTTTAGTAAATCCCGAAAACCCCGCTTCGGCTACCCTACTATTAAAACAGTATAAATAACAGCGTAACTGATGCTTTTACACGTAGACAGTATTAAGATGGAGGCTAGTAGGATAGAACAATTGATATTGATACACCAAGAGTACACTTTTTTGAGGAAACGTTAACATTCTGACAATAGCAATACTGTGCTGTCTAACTGCTCTGGCTCAATGTTCTACCCTTGTGTAAATAGTAAAGGACGTCTTAAACCCACATATAGCTCTTTTAAAAACATAACCTTGATAACTGTTTTATTTTCCAAAGTAAATTAGCATCGTTGGTAATAATGTAAAATTATTTACCTACAAATGCTTGCGGGTTATTTATTTTAGTTAAATCTGTGACGGCTGTGGATTATTGTATTATGAAATAATTTCCTCGGTTACCTTCCTACTTCCTTTCTCGCACCTGAGTGGAATAACCGATGTGTGTTACCGATTGATTAGTAGACTTTCACAGGTTGTATGACCTTTATATGACTTGTATTGTCAGGATGCGCGGAAGGCGGCGTGCGACACGTCGCTCGCGCAGGCGACTGCCAACCTGGAGCCCATCGGCCGTATCCAGATGCGTACGCGACGGACCCTGCGCGGTCACCTCGCTAAGATATATGCTATGCATTGGGGAAGCGACTCCAGGTAAATAACCACTAGAAGTTAGAATATTCATGGGTTTGATTTTTACAGCGGCCACACTTTGTACTAAAATAACGCATAACTGTTGTGCGATTGTCGATTGTTTCGCTATTCAACTGTTTAGTCGCACAACTAATAATCGAGTAGTGTGCTCATATAAACTCATAGGAATCAAAGCGCGATTAAACAGTTGTGCGATAGTTTAGTCTAAGGTGTGCCCTACCATTCGAGTATTGTCATGTCCATATAAATCGAGTAATTGTGAAATTTAAGGTAGTAGGCACATGATGAGATGTGTCAGACAAGGCGTCGTGTTATCGTCATCGTAAATTTCGTGCATAGTTATTTGCATTTTAGGTACTGATGTACCAGTTAGTGTTTACACCCATCTATACCTAGCACGTGCTAGTAGCTTGCATACAAATGGGGGATTATTCCCAACCGTCACCCCGCTCTGTCCCCGCGTGGGAACAGATGAGAATAAAGAGTTATCCGTCTCACCTTTAGCGACGAAGGGACGGTTAGAACATATTTTATTTTATAACTGTTCCATCTGTCATTTTATTGGTGATAGTAGGACTAAAAGGTGACGGATGAAACTTTTTATTCTCACGTGGGAACAGAGCGTGGTGACGGTTGGAAATAATGCCAAGTGGGTTATCTACTTGCTTAAGTATAAGGCTAGATCTCATTGGTAACTAAAAATACAGAACTATACCAGATTTTGCTACTTTTTGAAAAGAAAACAAAGTCTATTGATGAAATACAAGTTTATGCTTTCCAGTATATTCTGTTTGCATCGATAACAAGGTGTTTCACCTGAAATTCATCACTTTCGGATATCGATCAGTCTAACCTAGCGCCGGTCGACATTTGTTTATATAGAAAATGGGCCACTAAAAATATACTTCAGTTCGAACGTGGTACACTTGTGTAATGTAAACACACGTAACGAGAATTGAACTGATATTAGTTCTTCGTATTGTAATGTTCTATACAAAACGTAAAGACAGACTTCTTATAAATTTAATACTGACTTTACCTCATCCCTTTCTCAAGAAAGCTTTGCTTTTAGCATCAAGACGTTGAATAGTTTCTTTAAACATTGACACTATGTATACATGAATTCATGATATATTTGAAACTAGCTTTCCCCCGCAACTCAGAGTCGAAATAATGTGCCTGTGTTCTTTCAGACTATCCTCTACATATATACCAAATTTCATCGAAATGCATTAATCCGTTTATGCCCATCTATCCATCTAAACTTTCGCATTTATATTAGTATGATTATAACAAACTAGGTTTTGCTCACGACTTCGTATGTGTGAAAACAAGGATATAGCATATGATAACCTTTCTTATGTTGTAAGAATTTTTAAAATCGGTTCTAACATACAACAAATCTTCCCACTTTATATTTATTTATTTATTTATTTATTTATTTTCATGGAAGACCAACAGCTAATACAACAAAGTAGGTATAGTGGTAGTTAAAGAATACAGCCAATAACAGGTCTCCACTAATAGAAGTATGTTACAAAAATGTTAATACGCGGATAAACAATAGAAAACCAGAAAGTTAAACAATGCAAAAAATACAAAAAATACAAAGTACAAAATACAAAACATACAAAATATAATATTAAGTATCTAAACTATTTAGCCTTTTTAAGAAATCACAATTATTAAAATGCATAATCAATATAAATACTCCAAATAAATAATAATAATAAATGTTCCAATGTAATTCGAACTTTTATATCTAAATTTTAAATTCATAGAAAATGTAACAAGTTCCCTTTTAAATCGGAATTCAATGATTTGTTTTGATTTATCTGTGATTGGTTACTTCCGTCTGTTAGCACGCGGGTCGGCAATGAGTGTGCACTTTCTGTTACAAGAAATTAAATAGCTTAGTACAAAAGTCTTATTTTAACATTCAGGTGGAACAGTGTTACATAAATAATTAAAAAAGGCTAGAAAATTGTCTCGTCAAGGGTAGTCTTTCGTTAAATCTGTAGCTCCCGACTTCAACATATCACTAAATAGTAAAAAAATAAACTTTGTTACTCAGTGATACTGCAGCTTCATAATGGTTAAATGATTTTTAAAATCGACCCAGTAGTTTTTGAGTTATTTCAATACATGCTACCATCCAAAAATACAAATCCCGTGAAATTGTAAAATACAAGTTGTTGCTCGCGACTTCGCCGGTGTGAAATTAAAAAATAATAAAAATGTAGCCTATGTTACTCACTGATAATGTAGCTATTTAACCGTTAAAGAATTTTTAAAATCGACCCAGTAGTTGTTGAGTTATTTCAATACATGCAACCATCCAAAAATACAAATCTTTCGTCTTTATAATATTACTAGCTTTCGCCCGCGACTCCGTTCGCATGGTATTAAAAGAAAGCAAAAGTGAGTAGCCTATGTATTCCAGACTATCCTCTACATCTGTACGAAATTACATCGATATCCGTTCAGCCGTTTAGGCTACAAACTCTAACAAACATCCATCTAAACTTACGCATTTATAATATTAGTAAGATTATTGGGTTTCAGGTTTTCGCTTGCTCGTTTGCCACCTAATGTTATAAAAAAAAAAAATAGATTTAATTTAAACTAGTCTGTTAATAAATTTACCATGAATACATTTATAAAATGACATCTGTCTTTTTATTATATACAATTAAACTTGCAAATGTTTTTTTTTTCGTAGGATTATAGAGATAATATCGTATGTTGAAATTTTCCCGCGTCACAATTTAATATAGAGACGTGTGTTATATCCCGCTGTTGGGATATAAATGATTATCAAAGACTTGATAACATATTTATTGAAATTTCATTAAATTTGAACTGTCTTCTTTTTAATGATTCGTGTGATATTTCTAGCACAAAAGGCACTTAGTGGATTATTCTTGTGAAACTGAAAATAGTTATTTATTACTGTGAATACTTGCTTATTTAATTTTATAGACAAAACTAGCTGTTCACTTGTGACTTCATACGCAATATTTTACATGTGTAAAATGTTCATTTGCAAATGTCAAAATGACAAGTAATAGCAACCTTGCTTCCTTAATGTTGGCAGCTTGTATTTTATGGTCACTTTCCCACATGTAGGTTTTTTCCAATTTATTTATCCCCCAAGTTTAATGGCGTAAAAATATATACCCTAAAGCTTGTCATAAGCGTAGGGCTTATTATTGAAGAATTATTAAAAAACATGCTGTGATTGCTGATATCCTACGCCACAAAGTAGTGTGTGTTTACGCTTTATTATATTAGTATATTTTACTAGTAAATGTAATTTAGGATAATCCAAACGTTTTTATAAAAATAAACAATATCAAAAGTAACTCAAGGTTGGTTCAGATCGTTGTTATTCCTTATTATTGATTTAATTTCCTATTTTATTTGGCAACCTGTTGGGACTATACCGAACAAGAGGCATATAGAACTTGCGGATAAAAATTTTAAGGGCCTATCCCACAATTCTAATAAATTGTTAGATAACAATCCAACAAAATATGTGATGGAAATATCGGATTTTGGTTCTCTATCTGACAGTGACATTTTTAAGCTACCTGAGCTCAGCCAGTGGTGGGACAGGCCTTTAATGTTATCAACTAAAATCATTATAAAATTAACCAAATCGTCTAAATTCACATTACATAGAAATATTCTGTAACATTCAATTATTTTACAATGAATTGAGCAAACGTATGCAAAATATTACTCTCGTTTTTTTTAAAACAGAGATAGCAATAATTTTTTTTTTTATTACATTAGTATATTTTTGTTAATTTACTAATATTTCCTTTAACAATTCCGACTAAGCTCTCTAGGCTTGTGCTAGTTCACGGCAAGAGTCGAATGGAGGGATTCGAACTCTCGACCGTAAGATCGCTAGTCCGTACCCCAAACCTTTAGGCTATCGTTAATAATGTTTCGAAACATGTTTCTCGATACTAAAATCTGACGCTTTTAAGCGTATTGTTAACTTCCGAGAGTACTTATAAAATAGTACCAGATCTTATAAATAGTCTGGTATAGGTGATGCGAGATATCTGCGTATTCGCGTTCTGTTTACGTTACAATTTCATAACTGAACAAGGCTGACGCGTTTTATATTTATATACTACTAGATTTCGCCCGCGACTCCGTCCGCGTGGAATTAAAAAAAAAACAAAAGTGAGTAGCCTATGAGTTCTTCCAGACTATCCTCTACATCTATACCAAATTTCATCGAAATCCGTTGAGCAGTTTAGGCTACAAACTCTAACAAACATCCATCTAAACTTTTTCATTTTAATATTAGTAAGAAGTAAGATATATTTTATTTATTAATAGTTTATTTGTCTTGTTTGTGCAGGAACCTGGTGTCCGCTAGCCAGGACGGCAAGCTGATTGTGTGGGACAGCCACACAACCAACAAGGTGCATGCCATCCCGCTGCGTTCCTCCTGGGTCATGACTTGCGCCTACGCGCCTTCAGGCTCCTACGTCGCTTGTGGTGGACTTGATAACATCTGCTCCATCTATAGGTATAATTTATTCTATATATTTCAAACAATTAAACACAGATAACTGAAGTTTTATAGCTTACGATGTACCCATGCTTTTTCTGCATGGAATTATAAAAAAAAATATTGTTTGCTTTGGTTAAATTCTCAATTGTAAATGTCAAAATTAGAATGCAGAAATCACAAAGATTGGATAACAATTACCATTACCATGGCCACATTGCTTCGTTGATGCCAAAGCTTGTAGTTTATGGTTCCACTCTCCTTTTAAGGGTTTTTTCCAATTTATTTACCTCCTAAGTTTAGCGTTATAATAGCACGAAACAATGACAAGTAAAAAGATAATTTATCAGAATTATAAAAAAAATAAACAGTATAACTAGATTTTTTTATGTGTTTAATTTTTATTAACATTTTTTTTTTGTTTTGTAGCCTGAAGACTCGTGAGGGCAATGTGCGCGTGTCCCGCGAGCTGCCCGGACACTCGGGCTACCTGTCCTGCTGCCGCTTCCTCGATGACAACCAGATCCTCACCAGCTCCGGGGACATGACCTGGTCAGTATACACCGGAATAAGTCACAAAATAGCATAGAATATACAATAAATGGCATTGTCAATTGATAAAATATTAATACTAGCTGTTCCCGTGCGTCTTCATCCGCATGAAATTATGAAAATTTTATTTTATTTTTTACATTTGTCGAAATATCAATAGCAAATGTCAAAATGACATGACATGACAAACCTTAGCAATCTTGCTTTCTTGATGTTGGCAGCAACTTATGGTCTCTTTCCCACTTTAGGGTTTTTATCCAAAATATTTACACCTAAGTTTAATGGCGTGAAAATATATAGCCTAAAGCTTGACGTAAGTGTAGTGCATTTTATTAAAAATAGAATTATTCAAAAATATGCTGTAATTGCTGACATCTTAGGCAACAAAGAAGTGTGTGTTTACGCTTTATTATAATAGTATAGATTATTGACTGAGAATTTTACTATGGCAAACTTGACTGTTGTTATTGGCTTTTTGTTTTTGTCCCTATTTTGTAGAGCTTGTTTTCTTCTCACCCCCTCTAGTTATAAATGTGAAAATTTAGCTTATAGCGTATACTTTTCAAACATTTATTAATAAATAAATATTCAAAAACATGCTGTTGAAATACATTTTCTCGTATCAATTCTAACACCGCCTTAGGCACTTCTGGCTATTTTGACATTCGCTAGAGAATCATATCAGAAACACGTATTTAATATTATATATAACTATAATCTATACTATTATAATAAAGCGTAAACACACATTTCTTTGTTGCCTAAGATGTCAGCAATTACACCATATTTTTGAATAATTCTTTTTTTAATAAATAGCAACACACTTGTGTCACGTTTTAGACTATATATTTTAACGCCATTAAACTTAAGGGGTAAATATTTTGTATAAAAACCTTAATGTGGGAAAGAGACTATAAGTTGCCGCCAATATCAAGGAAGCAAGGTTGTCATCATGTCATGTCATTTTGACATTTACAATTGATAATTTGACAGATGTAAACAATAAAATAAAATTTTCATAATTTAATGCGGATGAAATTGCACGGAAACAGCTATTAAGTGTACACAAACAGTGTGATAGCATAGTATTAAAAAAATGCAGTTTTTACTCTCTCCTGAAAAGTTACTATTTTTCACATCCATGGTGTTAGAATTTCAATGACTATATGTTTACTTTTGACAGTTAAAAGGATTTAAGTGTGATTGTACTATGTATTGTTGTCCAGCGCGCTGTGGGACATCGAGACAGGGCAGCAGTGCGGCCAGTTCACCGGGCACACGGGCGACGTGATGTCGCTGTCGCTGGCGCCGGACCAGCGCGCGTTCGTGTCGGGCGCCTGCGACGCCTCCGCCAAGCTGTGGGATGTCCGCGACTGTCAGTGCAAACAGACATTCCCGGGACACGAGAGCGACATCAATGCGGTTACGGTAAGCAACAGACACACAGACACGAGTTTTATTAACTTTGATTCATTACTTAGTATCTGAACTTTTACAGTTATATCTAATGGTAATTTTGTGGGAGTGCAAAATGTCAATCTATCAACTTAAATTTGACAAAAATTCTCCAATCTTTGGTCTTTTTCAACAAATCGATGCAAGAACAAATTACTTACCAATCCATGATTCTTTGTAAAAAAAATGACTACTGTAGTCATCTTGCCCAAAATAAATAAATGATAGTGACAGTCCACTAACGCCATCCTGTCAACGTCAAAAAAATAGCCTAAAATGTTTGTACTCTATGTCTTGTCTTATATTCTTTATGCCGTGTTCTGATAACTGCGTCACATCGGCCCAGATTTACTTGAACTACTCTACAGGCATTGTTAACTGTCTTCCTCCCCCCTTATAGGACAATGCCCAACTGCTCTCCCCAGCGGCTATAATATACTTATCATAATAAATCCTTTATTGCTATAGATTGTTTACAACATGTTTACTAAAATACAAGAACATACTTATAAACAATTTTATTGTAAAAAAAAGTAGCATTACAGATCACTTAAAGACTGATGAAACCAGGAAAAGACAGAAATACCATAGAAATCTGTAGAGTTGTAGATTGAAGATTATACATCAATAATAATCACCGATTCAAATTTCTCAAGATAATAGTGAAAATATGTAATAGGTGTTTAATTAGTTTGAATGTGATCCAGTTCTTCCCGTCCGGGTTCGCGTTCGCGACCGGCTCCGACGACGCGACGTGCCGCATGTTCGACATCCGCGCCGACCAGGAGCTGGCGATGTACTCGCACGACAACATCATCTGCGGCATCACGTCCGTCGCCTTCAGCAAGTCGGGCCGCCTGCTGCTCGCCGGCTACGACGACTTCAACTGCAACGTGTGGGACTCCATGAAGAGCGAGCGCGCCGGTGAGCACACCACACCAAACTACACTTCACCACTACACTATACTACACCGCATTACGCAACGCTAAACTGCACTACATATCGCTACACTACACTACACTGCGCTGCACTACACTTCACTACACTACGCTACGCTACAATACACTACACTATAATACACCACATTACACTACGCTAAACTGCACTACATATCGCTACACTACACTACACTGCGCTGCACTACACTACACTACATAACGCTACAATACACTATACTACACTACAAATGATTACAAAATACGTTACTTAGATTTGTTACAGGAAATAGCTGTCCCATGCTTCACCCCCATGATATAAAAGCTTTTAGTTTAGTTCAATTCATTCAGTTATAATTTTCACGGGAACAGCTATATTTAATCTAAAAAAGCATATTATGTACGTTTTTGACATTATATTTGTTGTTGCGCAGGTATCCTGGCCGGGCACGACAACCGCGTGTCGTGCCTGGGCGTCACCGAGAACGGGATGGCGGTCGCCACCGGCTCCTGGGACTCGTTCCTGCGCATCTGGAACTAAGCCCCCACCCGCCCCGCGCCCCGCGCCCCGCACTCCGCAACACAACATGGCGGCGCAATATCTTATTTAAATCCGTCGCCATCGCGCGCATTGTTTAATATTTCTATAGTTTTTTACGCGGCGTGTTAGCGGGACGTATAAACGCTTTATCCTATGTGAATATTTTTGTTCCGTTACCACTCATTTCCGATTATAATTGCTTTTTTATCACAAAGCGATTGTGTCGGGGAGCGTATGCTTGTTTCCGAAACGATATCCGGATACTGAACCTATTTTCGCTTTATTTATTTAATAATAGTTGATAATCTCTTAACAATGGAAGCATTTAGTACCGGTAAGCGAGGGATGGCGTGACTGGTTGTATGTTCTGAATATATATATGTAATTATTCGTGTTAAATTTAAATATTGATTAGCGTTAGCACTGGAGGCTTCTCCGCGAACTGTCGAAATGTTTCTGTTACTTGGTGAGTTACATTTTAAATTATTTTCTAATTGCATAAAACACGCTCGGTAATAAAAAAACAACCTATTAGATTTCCTATGTGGTCTTGTAGAGTATTTTTTATAGCTATACCTAATTTTATCAAAATCCGTAAGCCGTTTTAGGTATAAATCGTTAAAAAGATCCATCCTTACCCGGTTTATTATACAGAAGAACTTCGATAAGTTAAAGTCCAAGGGAAACATAAAATACTTTAAGTTATAGAGGTTTTAAGTTATCAAGGGTCTATGTTATAGAGGTTTTGGGCTCTGATGGGAAGGGGACATATTTTTTTGAAGTTATAGAGGTTTTTAAGTTACTGAGGTTTGAGTTTATCGAGATTCTACTGATTTAGTATGTTTTGAATAACTTAACCCATAAAATCGAAAAAAAAAAACTTGTAGTAGCCTTTTATAATAAAATAATTTTATGTGTACTATTTTAAAAGCTTTTTGAATCACTTACCTGGGGTTTTTATTTGTTTTTTTATTAATTTTAATAATTTCTCCACTCTTTTCAGATGAGCACAGCGCACTGCATACTATATCTAAAATTAAAAAAAACTAAAGAACCAAATATTATGATTAATGTACCTACATATAATTTATTGAATATGAACTTGTCTGTCATTATGTCCGCGAGCTGTAGGGCTGATTTATGAATTTTTTATTTATATAAAAAACTCGAAAATCCACAAACTAATCAATTTTGTATGATTTTTAACTTTTTTTTGTATATTTTTTTTTAATCAACTATAAGTGTTTGATGTAAAAATGCTTGATTTTTTATATTCTTAAGCACAAAATATTAAACTCTTGCAGAATGTGTTAAAACTAATAGTAAAATATGTATTAAATTTTTTAAAAATTTGCAAGAAATTGTTTTTATATGTTTTTTTTATTGAATAGAAATTATGTTATATTCGCGCAAAAATATTAATATATGTATGAATATTCTGATGTTTCATAGTATGAAAAACGCGGTTTTAGGTGTTTTGTAACTTGTCAATACTTAGGGTTGCCATTACCTTCGCTTGATTATAAAATACCATCAAAGGCCTATTTGGTTTTAAGAGCATATGGCAACCCTAAATCTGTATTGGTGTAATTCTTGATTTTACATTATTTAGCACAAATTGAGGATATAACACAAAATAGAAGTATTGTAAAAATTTGGTTGTTTATATTCTGACAATTTTTAATAAACAGTTTATTTGTACAGCCCTCCTTGTCATCTGTCTGTCCCTTTTGCGTATTCGACTTGAAGATGTGTTGATGAGCAACTTTTTATATGCCAAATAAAGTAACAAATTTTTCATTAAAGTGATAATTATTCGAAATAAAACAATGATTTTTCGTAATTCGAATCGCACAAGATTCACGCACATTTAAATGGCCATAAATTAACGAATCAAAGATAATTGTCTATTTCGCGAGAATGCCATAGACAAATGTCATAATTTCGCGCCAAAATGCGTCTACGATTGAAAAAATGGCGGTTTTCTTTTCAAAACGACTATGTTTCTAAAAGTGTGTCACCTTCGTTTTATATTATGTAGTGTTTACTACATTTTTGTACCTCTACGATAACTTTAAATTTATTCGTTACTGAGATATATTTAAAAATACAACGTAAAGCCATTCTTCATGAAAAATGGGGTTAAAATTCGCGCCCAAACTTCATCCAAGATACAACTAAGATTAGCTATAAGTCTGAGTGTAAGAAAAAACTTCCTACACTCAAAAATGAAATTGTGTTGCTTAATTTATTTAAAATTGTTTTTGAATTATTTCAGTATTTGTTTCGTTAAGCGCAAAATATTTTATGTAGCGGCTTTATTGCTATCGCGTTGTTTTAAGCCCTTTTAGATAGGTTATGTAGATGTATTATTAAGGGACACAGACTAAAAAAGCACATTGGATACGCTGGAATGCTTACTTTGATGTATTTAGTAATACACGTAAATGGTTACGATTTGTCTGATAAACATCTTCAGTAATCTAAACCAATTGGAATGTTGACTGTTAAATAGCGAATCGATGAAAATATAGGTTTCGCTCGACCTTGTCGACTAAAATGACATTCTGTAAAGACTTTCATCTCTTGCACACAAGATGCATTAGGGAAGTGAGAATTCTAGAAAGTATGAGGGTAGTTCAACATCTTTGATGACAAGGGCTGTGGTTATTTGACTAACAAGAAGTTCAAGGTTCATGCAGGTTTTTTTTTTCATGTTTTATGCTCAATGACAGCGCGGGAATTCGCTCTGACAGGAATAAATTGACCTATTCATTGTACGTTTATAGCATAGGCATATCAATCGATTTGCTCCCACTTTTTATTACTGTTTACACCAAATTTAGCGTTTTTGTAAACGTAAAACTAGGGCAAGTTAACCCAAACCACGCATCTAATCTAAAAGTAAGGGATACGCTATGGATGTTTTTTTTCGTCTGTCCAATGTAGCAGTTTCCTACCAGCCAGGATGTTCGAAAATTAAAAAGACTAACGTTGTCCAACTGTCAGTGTTGACAGATGTTTCGGCGGGAACTCATTGGACAGATTATGAAACGTAATTTCGGAGTTAAGCTATGGTGTGCTAGTTCTACGCATAGTGGATAAGACTTTTTTAAATGATAACAATTTTTTTCTACTGTAACGGCTTCTTTTCCTATCGGTGTATCGATAACTCTTAGATTTATATTGTATATGTACGGTATTTAATGGAAAGTTTGAAGGCTCCACGTTTTTATTTCTATTCAGACCAATTTTTCTCACTTTTACATCGTGTTATTGGAATGGACTGCCATATTTTAACCTTAAACTGTAATTTATATACTTAAACAGGGCTATGTGCATCCGGAGTTTCGATTTTAATGGGCAACATTGAATTCAACGAATGTAAGTTCTAGAAAAAGCGCGGGACTTCGGTGTATTCTGACAGCCCGCTTTTACGTTCAGAAATCAAATCCTAACCAATGTAATGCCCTGACATCTGATATACAAAAGAAAAACGAAGGATGCGTAAATTTATTTTTATTTGCTAGTCCACGTCTTTGATATGTTAAAAATAATTATTCTTAGTCGTGTAATACTAATTATAATGTATTGTGTAAAATATTTTTTTTTTTTTAGTTATTATCAATAAATTAAATTTTGTTTATTTTGATTGTATGTTTCCTTTCACGTCCTGCTTGAGGTATGAATGTTGTTAGTATTATAATATTACATACGATTATTAAATACATTTTACAATACAATAAACGAATGAACAATGTGTTTTTTTTTCATATGCCCATTTCCCGACTCTTGTTTAACCTCTAACTCTAAAAAAAAGTCCTTATAACATAAGAACGACAATCACAAGACTTATAAACGGAACTTTGATCTATGACCTTTACCAACTGCACGAAACAAAATAAAAATCCAAGTTTGTGAAAATCGATCGAATGCGTAAGTTGGCAACGAGTCATGAATTCAAACACGCACGTGACGCGAGCAGCGTCCCACTAAAATTGTATACCAGCGCACACGAAAGGTTGAGTTTATCTTAAAAACTCAGTATTATTTACCAAAATATAATGTTATTTGATCGCTAAGAAAGACCCTTAGTGTAGTTGTACTAAATCCACATTAAACCTTTTATTGTGAATGCGGAATAAAACATTCTAGCTAGATTAGAAACCATAGCAATTAAGAGGAAGCTATAGAAGCCTGATAAAGATATCTAGTTTTATTATTGTTTTTCATACGTGTGTCTGTAGCCTACTGATGGCTTAGTTGTGGCAGCATTTATGACTGAACATATCAGTCTTCGAGGCAGCGTTATTGCGAAAACTTTGGCGCGAACTCGAGGTTTTCACTAAGTGGTCGTTCATTTAACGCGAACGGCCAATTAGGACGTTCAACCTAAATTATATTTTAATTATGCTAAAATAACGAAATGAATTAATGTTAAATACAAACCAATTTGAATATGGAGGAATGATACGGTGGCATTATTTATTGGGATGCTATAATAAAAGTAGCCGGATTTTGCCAGACTAAATTCGTACCTCCGATATAAGTAGCTTGCCGATAATTTAGCAAGCTTAAAAATACTTTTTATTCTGAATTCTGAAACTGATAATTTTCTCTACGATTCTCGTAATTTCACAATTATTTACTCTTAAATGTTATTGCTAAAACATTTGTAGTTTTGATTTTACAACTTGCTAAACAGGTTAATGACATGATCCTTAAGTCGGTCTCATGAGAACTCCACGTAAACGAGGTTAGTGGTACAGAATTCAATGGCTGTTGTACCCGTGATCCCGTGCTCTACATCCAGGTAGCAAAGTGCACGTGAATCATATTGTTTTTGCTTGAAATTCGTTGTAATGTAAATATTAATCGACATGTATAGTGCTATACAAACTTTGTAGTTGCTTGCTAGTCTGCGCAACATAGAGAGAGATGGAAAATCACTTAAAGTAATGGCTGAATGTAGAAATACGGAAGTAGGGCGCAAACCTGTATATGTTTTCCTTGTATTGGGCACTTCTATTGTTTGAAGCTAACCACGAGCAGTTATATTTGGCATAACTTTTTACTTAATATGACTTATAAAAGCGCAGGATTGTTTTTTAAATACACAATGATTAGACCATCCCGAACAAAGTTTGAATCTTACAATATCGTGTGCGGTGTGGGAGGGGAGGGGACTACGGATTTAGACTCTGGCACTGACGCCTCGCAGCTGTGGTGGCCATACTTCCAGCTACTCTGAGTCAGACAGCTGCAAGCCTTAGTTTATTTTTTATAATTAAAGGAATGTGTTTGAACTTACTATTCAGCGATCTGCGTACACAGTTGTTGGACAGGAATCCTTGATTAATATTGCTTCAATACCTAATACGAATATTAACGCTCATATAATCATTTTATGTTTTTTGTGTAAATGTTACCAGCATTCTGATTTTAATTGCAAATTACCAATAACATACCAATGCAATAAAACGCCATTAGATTTCTTTAGGATAATCTTTATCATAGAGTCGTAAAGGTGTCCGCAGAACTTGATGGTCATCTTTTTTGTCGTATATGAAGGTCTACGTCCTGCACTGGACTGCTGTTGTCTGATAAAAAAGCTAGAATAATCAAAGATAAGTACTATTGTGTAAAGATAAGAAAATTGTGAAAATCACGAACACCCTATACGGAGAGAAGCTCAGCCGCATTATGCAACGTTTCAAAACTTATTTTCGTTAGTCTGTAGTCAACACGCGTCGAAGTTGCACGTTTGGTATTAATCGAACGGTTTTTATTGTGTTGTTTTTCGTGTATTGTGCAAATTAGTAATATACAGTGACTGCATTTAGCGAACGTGAAGTGTTTTTTATACTTTCGTTTTGGCGGAAAAATTTCTTTTTTTTTTGACAGGTGTTTATGCATACTGCCAGTGCTTTTAACGTATATTTTTTTAAAATTACAAATAACATAAATTACAGATATGACAAATAATTAAAATAATTAAATTAAGTACAGTAACATTAATTTTGTAGATAAAAATTCAGAATTGTAACTTTCCCCGTTTACAGTAATATTGATTTTGTTAGAAATATGCTTCAGGAAGTAATTAAACATATTAATTACTGTAAATATTTTCCCGTAAAAGTGTAACAATGCCAAGAATTGTCTGTTCGTCTGGCAGTACTATCTGCCAACAATTTTAACTGCTTCGGATACGAAAATGTTCACTTGAATTTGTTTTTCGATTGTGAAAAAGTACACTTCGTTAATAATTTCAACTTTCAAAATTTTTGTTAACATTGTAAATGCCCTAAATACGTTTTTAAATCCCCTTGAACACAAACATTCTGGAATTGTACGCTCATAAAATTGTTCCAACGGTTCTCGTAAACATGCTCAGAATAGTATTGAACAGTGTTGCCACAATAACTAAACTTTTTTCCCTAAACCTTACTCTTATTAATAATTAGCCTAGTATTCATCAATTTTGTATTCACCATGAAACATCGCCACTCCCACTAGTATTAGTCAGATATTCTTTTTAGATCCAAAACCTTGATGAACGCGAGCCAAATTATTATTTACAATTGAAATGTTTAACTTGCAGTGTTATAGAGTACACGAAATAATAAGAAAAGACTAGAAGAATATAAGTGTAATAATAGTGTCCAAGAAAAAGCATCAAAGATGATGACTATAAGCGAAAGTCAGTATTCGTCGAATAAAATGTCGAGTATTCATAAAATAAACGATCGTGTGGTCCACAAGGATAGTTTCGACGATGTCAAGAGCTCTTCCAGTGTCAACAGCACGTTAGTCACAAAGCGAGGCTTCAAGCCTTCGGATATGTACGACCCTCAGAAGAAGGAGTTCCTCACAAACCTCAGTTATAAGTTGTTCCCTGTAAGTTGGGTAAGTCGACTGTTTTAGTAGTAAGGCCAGGCTTCTAACAACGGCGGCGTGCTGCAAGGTGCTGTATTGGGGCCTTTTTATAATATATTAAATAAAATTCCCATTTAATTATGGCATAATGAATATTTTATTTATGGTAGTTAGTTAATAGACTTACAGTTATGGCGTACAATAGAATTATTATATTTTTATGCTTTTAACCACTGTAAACTTACTTATAATTTACTTAGTACCATATTTAGCTGTAAAAGTAGTTGCATGGACTTCGAATCGACCAGAGAATACTAAACAGCAAAGTAAGATAATCTTCGAAACAATAGCGAGCCATTCTTTTTTGGACGCATCTAACCGAAATAACGTGAAATTTCGTTAAATATTGATAGGAATTTGATTGAATTAATGTATAACTTATGCAAAGGGAACAGAAGTAGCACGGAACAAGCATCTTGTTAGAACCCCTATTTGCTTATTATTTTTAAATTCTACGAATGATTATTACCAAGAACATTAATTGCAATATGCAATTCCGAAAGAGTAATGAAACACTAAAGGATGAGTGTTGTAGGAACCAGTTCAATGACGTAGCTACAATGTAAACACTAGGTTGTGTTTTACAAACACGTTTCAGACTTTAGATTATAACACTTATGCTTATCAGAAGTACTCGTGAATCAGTGTATAAGTTAGCTTATCAGCTATTGTGTTAATATAATTAAAAAACTGCGTAAGCGCAGCTGAAGTAGTTAGTTGAGTTAATCAGCAATGTATACAGATTGATTCGTTTTCAAGAATGTTTACCGATTTCTTGAACTGTAAAACTAACAGTAAACTGCCGAACATATGCAAATTCATATATGTTTATTCCAAAAAATCCAATGGGTATTCCAAAAGAGGGTAGGGATGACTATATTTACCTTAAGTAATATATAGTAAATGTAATCTAATAATTAATAAAATTAGGATCATAGCGTATAAGAAAAAAAAATATAGAGAAAGAAAATATAAAGACTACAGTAATAAATTGAAATACGCCTGTATTTAAAAAAAATACACAAATTTTACCACAACATAACACAATTGTGGTAGTAAAGTCAGATGTCAAAGAACTTCTATTACCTTGACCAGATAGTCACTTCATCTTAGTGGACTAACCTTCTGACTCCGACTTCTGGATTTTACTACCAACTAGCTAGTATCGATTTTAATAGTGTTTAAAACTGAAATATTTTATGCATAGTGTAGTTTCAAATCTTGAACTCTAGTATTGAGAGCAACGCACCACAAAACTGATAAGAATTCAGTGAATCGTTTTCAATATTCTTGTTGTGAAGCTCAGAGGAAGCTTTTGGCGCGACTCCAGATGAATTGTTCCTTGAAATTGCGTCTCGTAGTTATTATAACTTTGTGACCAATGTTTGGCAAACATTTGTATTGTAAACATTTCCTATCAACGAGTGTTGGTTTTGTTCGACAATGTTGGTTGATAACGAAAGCGAAGTGCATGTATATGTACAATGCTTATCTGCCCGCTATGCAGGTGTCACCGCAAACGACAAACCTTCTTAAAATGTAGTTATAATAGGTATTTTAAAAAGAAAGCAAAAATAATTCGGTTCTCCAAAATCTTCAAAAAATAAGATTCGCATGTAAAAAGTTAACATCTCCCGGATTTTCGGCGCCATTCTCAACTTTAAAAACACTATTTTCCGGACAATATAGCGAGATGCTGGAGTGGACATTCTGACACAGGTAGTGGACAGCTTAGCCTATATATCGTTGACGAGTCTAATTATAATGAAGTGGACTTTAAACGTCGCATGGAGAATAGAAACGGGCACAACGTTGAGCAATCTGGGAAGACAGTCTGTTTGTTTTAAAAGGTTGTAGAAAAGAAGCGAAGGCAAACTGCGTCTTCGATCTAATAATACAAATCTTGAAACTATAGATTTTGAAGCCAACAACAAAAACGATAAGTAAAATTTAGCCCATATTGAGTAAAACTAGTCGGAAATATGCACACCATTTAAGCTCTATAAAGACAGATATTTGAAAAAGTTAAAAAAATAAACGTTCAGTAAATAGTTCGAGAATATTTTTACTGCCGCCATCTTGCATAAATAGAGGGCGTTTATTTAAGACCGAGAACGACCTAGGAACGCTCAAGTGTTCCCGATCAGTCAAAGTCGGACATTGACCCCTCACAACTCGATTTTTGAACACCGGCTTTTGTAAATTTTATAAATTTCAGCCTTTTTACTACTAGCGATTATTACGGAAAACATCATGACGCGAACTGCACATATCCACAAAAAAAGGGCAATGTGAATTAAACCAAAACGCAATGGGCCAGCATGGTTTACTAACACCTAGTAAAAACAGTTATAGCTTAACAACCTTTGATTGGATAAAAATTGAGATTGAATATAAGATGTCCCTATCGACAGAGTGATGCGTTTCACCAAATCTTACTCCATTACTCTTATTTCTTTCAACTGTGCTATCGTATAATCGTATTTTGGAATTAACATCGATCATTACTTCAAAAGACGTAAAGTGTTGCAGCCAGATCGTAAACGATTTATGACGCAAGAACACGGAAATAGCTTGAGCGCCGCAAACACTAGTCTGTTCTAGCAAAATGTTAGATTTCGTCGATTTTCTTCTAACGTTTGTAATTTATTTAAATTGTGCATAAAATTTCATAGACTTCAAATTTGATTGACCCTAAAGTATACGACATAGTTTAAACAATTATTTTCGCAAGAAATGGGTAAATATTATAAAAACAACAACACCGTAAAATGTGTAACGGCATTATATTGGCATTACAATTTAAAATTTTTGAAGGATTTTTTTTCTTTAAAATCGTTGTTTTTGTTTTTAATCGAAAAGATGAAAAAATAACTATTGCTAGGCAAACGCAACATGAAAGTTTTTGGGGTAATGAAGATTTTTTTAATCCGGCGCGTTTCTTAGACGGATTGGCCTCAATACTGAAAATATAAAATAAATATGTGTTGTACATCGCAAATTGGCATGCCGGTCTGGCGATGTTCATAGAACTTGGCAAATAGCCAAAACAACTTACACATTCATCATAATGATAACATCCCAAGTGCAATAGTAATTAATCAACATTAAACTCAAAGCATATGGCACAAGATCTATTATCACTTGAAGGAATTATCAGAAATAAATTATTTTGCCATTTAACACAAAATTTGTACCTACCGCATTTGATAGGTTAAGTTTTGAGTAGACTTTCGTACTACGGGTGAATCGATTGGATGTGAAAACTCTAGAACAAATAACTAACAACAACACAAGCTTTGGATTAAATAAAAAAAAAACATAAGATCATTTAATACCTGCATTTAAACATAATAAAGTATAATGTACCTACCATTTCTTATCAACTACTATTAATTATAAGGTGTTAACAATAATACTTCAAATATATGAACAATCATACTTAATTGAAATGATAAGATTAGGGAAATAACCATTCTTCTATGAAAACAATAGAAATTAAAAAAAATCCTTTATCAATATCAAGTCATTTCTTGGTCGATTCGATTTCGTAGTTTTAATTCAGCATGACACTTTACCAAGTGTTGCCAGAACAATAAATCTTTTTTCAAAATTACCCTAAATAATTTTTAAATATGTTAACACCACACAGAATGATGCAGAGGTTCGAGAACTTCCCGAAACAGTACCGCTGGATAATACATCAGTAAGATTATTGAATTTGTAAAGAAATCATGGACTCAGTAGCGCCATCTGTAAATATGGTTGATTCGAAAGTGATAAAGATATCATAATTTTTTGTTTTTTTGTCTATGAATTTATTTTGAAAAAGAAAGGATCCACTCAAACAGGTTATTTAAATTGTAGAGAAATCTAGATTCTAGATCCTAGAGAACCGTTTTAAACAATCTTTTCTTTTTGGGTATTTTTATAGACATTTTCTATTTTGTGTATTTTTTTTTAATTTCAGTTTTTAATTTACACTTTCCTATATTAAGTATCAGAGTAGTATTTTATGAGAATATTTTCTTACAACTCTGTAACTTTTTTCAAATTTCTATTTGCTTTTATTTATATTTTTAATATTGTGATTTATTTGCATGTGAATTTAGTTTAAACATTTGTGATAATTAAATTACTAACAATAAATACGTCAAACACAAAAACATTTTAATGAAAAGCCAACCCTTTATTTACCTTAATAGTTACTAGACTTTCCATACATCCCTACATACAGGGTAACTTTCTATAATTGCAACACTAAATTACTCGTGTAATAAAACATGAACGTTAAATTCAAGACGCATAAAAGCGTTTTGATGTGTAAAATAATATTCTCTGTTGAATTACAACGGCTTATAGGGAAGGTCACGGTCAAAGGTTACGCATTCCAAGTGTCATATGTTATTTTTTTAATCTTAAATGTGTTGTAAGTCGAATATAAATATCTCTTCATGTGATACATGGTAATTAAGTATTTAGTTGTGGACTCATTTAGTGTATTATGTACATAATAAATCTAGATTATACTGTCTTAGAAGTTTTTTGCACAATTATTTATTAACCCCCTTTGTTACAACTTCCAGGAGGACTTGGAGAACAAGCCGGTGATAGTGGACGGCAAGGAGGTCGACTTGAACAAGATCTTCACGCCCGCGCCTGATGCTGAGGAGCATCTCATCAAGAAAGATCGTAAATTCGGTATAAATCTTATATTAAAATTACAATGTATTGTGACTGATGTTTGATACAATAATTTTAACAGAAATCTTTCTGTGCCTTTGCTTGGTCGTCTCACTATTTCGGCGAATTCAAATCGTTTGCTTGTTTCCCACCTTATGATAACAATAATAAATTCATTCATTAAACAATAACTATGTTCCAAAGAATTGGAATTTATATCTAAAGAAGGCTCTTGCATTACTAAATAGCAAAATCTGTTATACTAATATTTTACATGCGAAAGTGTAGATAGATGGATGTTTGTTAGAGTTTGTAGCCTAAACGGAGCGTATCTCGATTAAATTTGGCATAGATGTCGAGGATAGTCTGGAATAACACATACGCAACTTCCTTTTTCTTCATTTAATTTTACATTTTTTTAATTAAAATCTACATTTCTTTAATTTCAGAGAAAACATTCGCATCATCAGGATTCTACGTGCCGGGCGTGCACCCCACCGTGCAGCAACAGATGGAGCTCGCGCGCGTCATCTCGCGCTCTCTGAGCGACGCCAGCAACCACAGCAGCCGCGGACAGAACATGTACGTCAACCGCAAGAAGAGATCCGTCAAATGGGTGCATGAAGGACGAGGTAACAATCGTTAAAACATTATTGTGGAAAAGCAAACTTGTGATGTTAGAAGCGCCTGTTTTTATAAAATAGCAAAAGTGTTTATTTTCTCTTCTCAAACTTTTTTGTATGACAAGAATGAAAAGGGAATAAATATGATTTGTAAGAGCTTATTTTTTATGGATATCTATTAGCAGTGGTCACTTCGCTATTTAGGCGAATCCAGTTGGCCGCTTGTTCGTTTCATTTTTATTTTGTAAAGCGATATAAGTAGAAATAAAAGTTGTAATTTTTAATTTTCAGGTCGCAACACATCGAATATGAATTCGACACCTACACCGGTAGCTAACCACGACACGCCATACCGTCCGCCATCGAGCTTACGCAATCAGAAAACTTACCCAAAATCAGCACTCAAACACACATCGAATCTGCCGAAAATGGAGCCATTCCCGGTTTCCCCGCCAACAATAACATTACAGAATATCGAAGTACCCGTGCCTTTGGCGCCAACTAAACTAAATGATGTCTATGCTTCGCCGAAAAGCCCGCGCCTGCCGCTTGTCTGTGGTCCGAATTTCAACGTCGCGCCGCGCGGCTGGGGAGAGATGCAAGATTACTACCGCCCCGTGTCGCTAGATGGCGTTGGATCAGCGGGCTACACAGATTATTAATTTTTATAATAAAAACTCTTCTTTGTTATTTATATTTAGAAATAATTTAAAGTGCCTTACGACGCTATACCAAAGGGAAAAAGCATTATTTTTATAACGAAGAGTATACGATGGTTAAAAAATATAAAAATTCCGGTAATAAGTTCCAGTTTAACATTAAATAATCTGTGGTCAAATAAAACGAAAAATCACAATTCAAATTGCTTCTGTAAGAGTTTATTTGTTTAGTTTCTTTTTAGTGAACAAAGTTTTGGCGATTTTTGGCATTTAGTTCTCTATTGTTAAGAGACAAGACAGAAAGTTGGTTTTACCATATTGTTTGTCATCAATAATTGTGCCTACATTTTCTTTTGGACATTTAAATGTTATGGTATAACATTTTTATTTTAAAACATCAACAAAATGTCAAATTAAACATTCTTTCCTTCCTGAATAATGAAGATTCTTCTTACGCTATTTATTTAGTGGTTCAGGACAATATATTATTTTAATACATTTTTAATACAGAAACAAATCAACTTTTGTGTGATCGAAATTTTAGATAAAAAATGACATTTCTGGATAAAATTTATGTTTACCTTTGCCTAAGAATGCATTTGGGTTAATAAAAAATACAAATGTTACTTAATTTTCCTTTGTTTCGTTTAAATATAATTTTGTTAGAGCGCGAGCACACCTTTGACTAAACTTATGGAGGTTACACTACTCGATTGTTAGTTGTGCAACTAAACAGTTGTAGTAACTGCGAAACAATCGACAATCGCACAGTTATGCGATAGTTTAGTCAAATGAGTGCCCGCTCTTAGTCTTAAAACTAGTCAAGTTTATTACATTTGTGGTTAATTTTATTACAAATTGTTATTTATTAACTGTTTACCGTTGTCTAAACTAACAAGAAATATTTTAATATAATCTTTATAATTACAAGTACATTTTGATTTTTTTATTGTAGTTTTAAATAAGGTTGGCAGTATGCGAGCCTTACTTGTCAATGTTGCCATACTGTATTTCGTCAGAGTTACAATAAAGTATGAAAATTGTTCTTTGTCTTATTTTCCCTAAACTATTAATTAACTTCTATAAAAATATTTTTAACCATTTGTTCAATGATCCAAAGTAACTAACAACTAATTACAAAAATATTCTGAACTAGCTTTCGCCCGCAACTCCGTCCGCGTCATATGAAAAAACAAAACAGAAGTTAGTAGCCTATATTTTCTTCCAGACTATGCTCTATGCCTTTCATCCAGATGAGATAAGATTATTTTAGAGAAAAATACGTGATATTTTGATTTCACTGTGTTGGTAACAGATACATTTTTTATTCTACAAATTCTGTCTAATTAAGGTATACTTCACATTTTACAAGATGAGTCTAAAATGTTTGTGTCAGAAGCTATAAAAAAAGCAAAAACAATAATACTAAAAATAATTACAATTAGTTACACATCTTCGAAATCATACGATTTTATATGCGTTACTAAACAATAATAAACAAAATAGTTTGTAAGAATCTTGATTACAGCGACCTCTATGATTGGTCCATTGCGAAAGTTCAACCAAATATTTGCCAGAAACACCTTATATTGAAGATTGCACAGATCTGTCATCCGTCTGCGCGTTACATAACTTTGTGAAAACAACATTCTTTGAAACAGAGTTCAGGAAACTATATTTAAGAAAACAATCAAAAGCTTTATTGATACGATGACGAGTTTTAAATTTTTTTTAATATCCAAATACTACGTAATCTATATCTACACTAATATTATGAAGTCGTCAGATTTGGATTTTTGTATTACATAATTAAAAAACTACTAGACAGTTTTCAAAAATTCTTGCTCTATTAAAAAGCTATGTCATAGCCGAGTGACATAGGCTACGTTTTTACTATTTTTTTATTTTAACGCGAGCGAAGTCGCGAGTCGCGAGCAACGGCTAGTTGAAAGAATCTTACCAATAATGCGAAAGTTGAAATGGATGGATAGATGTTTGTTCGAGTTGGTAGCCTGAACGTCTGTACGGAATTTAATCAAATTTGATACAGATGTAGATGATTGTCTGGAAGAACACATAGGTTACTAGCTTTTGTTTTTTTTTTAATTCCACGCGGACGGAGTCGCGGGCAAAAATTCAATAAAGATGAATGAAATGAAAGATGAAATATATCTCTTACTGCATTGTTATAATACAACATAATGAACATTGTGTTAATATGTCGAAACAAGCGTTGGCTCACGGCTTCGTTTGTAAAGCGGGTCCTTGGCTTGCGGAGTGTTGAACTTTATTCAAATAAGGTCTAAAGAGAATGGCTTAGGTTTAAAGATATACGCCTGAAGACTGCAATTTAAGTTCTAAGGTCATTGTAATTTTAAAAGATAGAAGTTTAATTTGTGTCAGAAATATTATAGTTTAAATAATACATAATAATTTATTTCTTTGCTTATATAATCATTATCAGATTTTAGAAGAAACGCCTCGTATAAGTAAGCGATGTACCAAATGAATTTTAAACTAGTACCATCTTGTTTTTTATAACTTCTGTTTTCACACTTATATGCATAATTTATGCAATTTTATTACAAGAGCACACATAGTTAATTCCCTTGTACCACATCTTGCACAATTTCGCGCCTAAAATCATCTTTTTTATTATGTTTTTAATTTGTCTTGTCTTGGTGGATTGTCGGTGGCCAGTGTTTATGTTTAATTCAAATGGTCAATTCTTACAGCGCCATCTATTAATTAATTTAGAGAAACCAAATATACCAAGCTTTTTATGTCACCTTAGCCTTCCCTTCTATATGACGATGGATTTATGAGTCCCTAAAAAACTTTTAAAGAGATTGTGGTCATTTTTTCTTGCAGTATTTTTTGATAATATTCTGTTCTGACTGTTACATAATAATACTTAAATACTGAATAATACTTAATTGCATATTGCATTCCGTCACAGCTCATGTGTTGGAAATTATTACAATCGACTATAAAGTCATATCAGTAATTTGATGGAGATTGTAAATTGGAATTGCGCAATAAATCATAGTAATATTATAAATGCGAAAGTTTAGATGGACGGATGTTTGTTAGAGTCTGTAGCTTAAACGGCCAAACGGATCTGGTTGAAATTTGGCATGTAAAACATAATCTGGAAGGACACATAAGCTACTTACTTTTGTTCTTGTAATACTACACGGACGGAGTCGCAGGCGAAAGCTAGTAGTACAATAAAATTTATTAATAAAAATGTTGAGTACCCCTGAATTTACACATTTCAAATAAAAAGACAGAGATAAGCAACATTTTTATAATTTTAATTAAAATTCTTATTTATCACCGTGTTTTGATAATTTAGTATTCGTAGTGCTGTAAATATTGGAGATATCGTTAATACCAGTTTACTCTCATATTTGGTGTTTATCTAATTAAAATACAGGAAATTTGTTAATATCAAGGAAGTTAGATTTTAATTGAATATAATTAGGTTCGTTGCAAAAGTTTTGTGCGTAAGAAACGGGCTCCGAGAGCAGGGGACCGGTTCCCCAAGTCGTTAATCGGAGATCCGTGAACTTATTGTAAAAACCAATTTCACACAGGTTGGTTTTGGTCAAACAGCTTGTGTGCATTCGGTCGTTCTTGGATGCGGCATTCCCGAGATTTGATAGTAGAATGGCAGAATACATACGTATTTTTATAGAATAATAGCTGTTCCACACAACTTCGTCCACGTGGAATCAAAGAGTAAAAAAAAATATATAGCCTATGTTAATCTCCGATAACGTAACTTTGTAACGGTGAAAGAATTCTTAAAATAGGCCCAAAACCAAATCTTTTCTCTTTATAATATTAGTATAGATGACAAAGAAATAAATAATCTTGCCATTTCCTTTCGGAGTGTCCACAGGCCATAGTATCATCAGCTGAATATTTCACTTAACTGTCGTTTTAAATACGGAACCCACGTATGCGAAATTTGTTCGTACTTTTCGTTGCGATTTTTTTCAGTATACAGCGGTCACACACTGTGGTAAGCTAGTCTTATCCCACAGCCTGTGTGGTTTTGTCGTGTTTGTTGTTACGGCTAAAATATATAAATCGATTACTTTGTTATCGATAGGAATTACTTAACAGTTTAGATTTTATCAAAGTAAGTGTTTTCTTATTTTATTAATGTTTAGTTTAATTAATTGTACAAAAAAATTATAAGTAAGTAGCTTTTGTTAACAATTGAGTTTGCTCGGAATTAAAAAAACAAAAGAGTGTGTTCTTCCAGACTGTTCTCTTACATCTATGCCAAATATCATCTAGATTTGTTCAGCAGTTTAGGCTATAAATAACAAACTACCATATATTTAAATTCTAACTAAATTATTCGGACTCTTTAGTTTTCTTTATTTAATTATCTACCTATTTTTAACATCGATAATTTATTGCATTTAACTCTTGTTGGACGATTCAAATTTTAATAAATAAAATTATTTTAACGTATAAATATTTCGCGCATGTCATAATAATTTTGCACATACTTGTAGAAGGTTTCTTCGTATTGTATTTGAGATTGTCGGTACAGATAACATATTCAAATTACATAGATTCCCATGGACTTTAGGTTGAAATCATGGTCTTATCATATTGGCATCTCACACATTTCCTTTGAAAAGAAAAGAGACAACAATACCAAGACTGTCCAAATCCAATGTCAAATAAGCAATAGTGAATTTATACTTATAAAACTCTCATCGTAAAATAAAACATTATTAAATGTGCTTCAATATTCAAAAAACAAAATATGTTTATTTATAATCTGTGCGAAAATTTACAGCATGAATACGTAGACCAAAGTCCAAAAAAAAAAACAAAAATCTTGCTCGCAAATTGACCCTTTATCAATAAATCAAACATGGCCGTTCCCGCCTAAATTAGTTTCCAATTTCGCTTTATTGAAATACAAAGATTCCCCATCAAAAGATGTCGTATCGTTTGACCAAACAATTGAGAGAATTGTTTTGCGTACTCGATTCACAATTGTTCTCAATTATTTCAATACAATTGTAGTATAACGATCATTCAACATAATATATTTGCGTTTGCGTACATTCAGGTCAAAAGGTCAAAGGTAAAAAGTATTCTTCATAAAAAGGCAAAGGTTATAGCCGTACAGCCACAAACGTCAGTGAAACATCTTTAATTTGCTCAAATTAAAAAAAAAATATATCTGCTAAAGCGTTTCTTTTCCAGAATCAAATTTATATTACATCTGTTTACAAGCAGTTTGCACAATTACGAGTATATATTGATCGTTTTTACTCCCTCAGTTACTTTCAAGCAGCAACGTAAGTAAAGGACATGCCAGACGAACTAGTTTATATTGAATAATAGAAAATGGCATGAGCATAAAAAGAGATTTTATAAAACAGACAAATTATTTTAATTTAATTAAAGCAATAAAGTAAAATATTAACATCTTTGGCATAAGGAATGAAGGTTTATTACAAACTTTATTATTTTTAATTCAAATTTGAATATCGAATTGTAAGCTTGATACGTTATAAGAAATGCGAATGTAATACAAAATATCAAGGTTTATTGACCTTTCCCTTTGCGTTTATTTGCACTAACCTGTTTAAGGCTGCCTTGAATAGAATTTCTCAGATATACAAATCGATAATGTTACGTACGCAGAGTTTAGATTAGTTGTAAATTCAAAAAAATCTATTGTAATATATACCCTAAATTGTTCGAAGCAGACAATAACCCACAGACAGTTAATACCTAATACGGAATTTAAAGGGCAAAAAATACTTAAGGAGATATTTTGTAAGCGTAAATATTCTCTGTATAATACAAAATTTTGTAACACATTTGCTATTTTTTTAATATTTCTAGTTGATACATAGATTGTAGTTAGTTATGGAGTTTGTAAGATGTGTTATGTAAAACGAGGGCACAATCAGCGCTGTTCTGTCAACAAAACTAGAGTTATGTAAACTTAGCTTTCTCGTTTTATTATCGACACTATAGACATAAAGTCATATCTCTTATTTATCTACAAATAGGCTCTTAAATTATAATTACATTTTTTTGAATCAATATCAAATTATATGAATGCAAAATTCTTAATAGGGAAATCCCAACGCATGCAAATTGCGTGTAACGGAACGGGAAAGACCGTTTTTAGTTCGACTCGAATACGTTATCCCCAAACAAATGCTACGCGTTGCCGATAAACATTTAAAATACGTTGAAAAATTCTCAGATTATGATATTACTAAACCGAGTATAAACTGAAACGTAGACAATCAGTATATAACTATTACACGAACCAATATTACTTAACCTTACAGTCTGTTCCTATTTCTAGACACCTATAGATCCGTTTCCTAGTTCTTGATAATCTAACCATGGTGATTGACTGCAGTCACACATATTTTAGTGAAGATTGTCATCACTGTTTTGTCGAACAAAATGAAAGAGATGCCAATAGGTGACAGTACCGATGTCAGTGCAGTGAAGGTCTACGGTAGCGGTACAATTTGCGGATATGTGAACATTATAATCTGTAACGTCAAATCCCAACTGATGTATGTGGCGCGTAAACTGACATTTAATCAGGGGTGACAAACAAGTTTAAAAAAAATGATTGAATAGTATTATTGAAATTAATTATAATCCCATGTTTTTATAAAAAATAAACAGGTTGTAGAAACGTAATTTCATTGAATAGATTTTCTGAATGAATAAGTTTGTTAAGATATCTACGACTACCTGAACTGAACCCATAAGCCGTTTTGTATTCATTGAAATCTTACCTGATCTCAAAGTAACTAATAGTGTCACGAATCTAATCTTATCCCATTGTATTCAGAGAAAATTATAAGGATGAGTTTGACTTTGCGAAATGCATTTCCTAACAAATTCATATAAGAACTTAGTGATAGTGAGGTTATTAAGAAAAAAAAAACAACTCTAGTTGTGGCAGCCCTTGCGTGACATTTTAAACAGTCGCACATAACGACACGCGTGTTGCGTTCACTTCACTATAATTTTGCATCGTGTCGTGGCGGTTGTGTGTTGGGTTGTGTTAATAGTCTACTGTCGTAACTTCTGTGTTAAACAATTTTCTGTCTCTATCATATTCATTATAAAAATAGAGACAACATGTTTTAATTTAAGTCGAATTTAACGGTTGGGAAATTCACCTCTGACCTGTGTTCACGTGTGTTTACGAGTTGAAGTGATTATCTTCGAATCAGACATTCCGTAAGTTAGTTCTATATTTTCAAAACTTCATTACCATTAGTACGTAGAGACGTTAAAGGCCTTAGTGTAGATTTAGTATGACCTAAGGTTTCTTCAGTGTAATTTAAACGCAAAATAACATGTGAAAATTGTACAATACACTACATTTATAGGTGTTTATAATATGTTAAGCTTCTTAGTTACTAAATAAAGACCTCGTGGAATAAAACTATTATTGTAAAATTTACATTTACTTTTGTGATAAAACATGAACTAACGTGGCTTTGTGGTTAATAGACGTAGTATTTTAAACAATCTTTAGCTAATTTAAAATTAAAATTCCACACACAGATTGAGGAAAATGTCGTTAATGTTTAATTTGTAGAGTTGCAAATAAACTCGTCCAAAACTATACTAATGTTATACGTTATTTTACTAATATTATAAATGCGAAAGTTTAGATGGATGGATGTTTGTTAGAATATATCTCAATGGTACTTGATGAAAGGCACAGATGTATATCATAGCCTGGAAGAGGACATAGGCTAAATTAGTTTTTTTTTTTTTTAATTCAGCGCGGACGTAGTAGCAAGCGACAGCTAGTTAGTAAGCACTAGTATGATGTTGAGAGTATTAAATATTTTGTTATGCGAGTAAAGACACAGTCTTCCTAATAAAATTATCATAATTAACATGAATTCAATGCCAACTACATTTTTTTACCTCAAACCATTTAAATACAAACATTTTTTTTGTCTTTACGCAAGATGGAATATAATTCGACGGCTCCTCTGTAAACTATCGTATGTTTGAAATGCAAATTTTGTAACACAAAACTTAATATGCAATAAATATGAACAGACGATATATGTAATACCAAATCTACAATTCTTCTTATGTTACTTTATACAGAAATTAATAATCATCAAGTTAAATTAAAAAAGAAAAACAAAACAAGACGTAAATCGAAAAATTTTGTCAATTATTATTACGACAATTTACATGGGAGCCGGTCGTAATAATATCGAAGTGTTTATTTTAGTTAATGCATTTTAAAAATCATACATCGTTTATTTAAATTGATTTATAAACGAACTTATTTACTCACGTTGTTTAAATAATTTTCTTGAAAACATATTTTTGTCCCTGTACATACATTCTGTGTTTCTAATATTGTAAATTGAAATGTTTTTATGAAGACGGACGGGTTATTTCATTTATTTTAAAGATAACTAGATACTTATCTGATGTTATTACCCAATTTGGTCAAGTCTCTCGAGAAACGGGGATCTGGAAATTGTTAACATCTAAGTTTTATACAGATTGCGTACCAATGTTCTACGATCCGATCCACAGTAGTATTTCGATCCACTAGTCATTTAATGTCGTTATATCGATACAAAAATCGAATAGATAGTATCTATCTATCTATATATCGGATCGGATTGCATCCCTTTACTCACGAAGCCTCACCTCATAGCCGCCAAATAATTACGCTTGTGTTAAAAGCCGATTATGAAATCGGTTAGTCTAATTTGTTTTACCTCGGTTAGGCAGTTATTTTAAATAGTCCTTCAACTTTGAAATTAATGTATGTTTTAGAGATGTTCAAATTATTCAAACTCAGGCGTAACGTGTGCAGAATTATCGTGAAATTTTATGTTTTACGCTTATAATGGTTTATCGTAGAGTTATATTTTTTGTTATTATGTATTTAATTATATTGTTATATATTTATTATTTAAAATAATACAAATGTATTAATAATGTGCGTAATACATAAATAAAAAACATCACGTATTTCTGACTTCATACGTCTTACGTTATTATTTTGCCAAGTAATTTAAATACGATACGTTTGTAATTATTTGTTTTATTTTTTTTTAATATTTAAAGTAAACTATGAATTAATTACAGAATCATATGTCTCAAGGTCACATAAATGACGTTTAGATTTATTTTTATTTTACAAATATAAACACGGATAACAAATTTTAAAACGTAAACAATACTATAATGTATGCTGTCAATTTGCACAGCGTATAAACTTGAAAAAAAAATTATACATGTGTTTCGAATCTAGTGGTCAAGTCAAAGGCGGGAAATTTTCGCGGCTCTTTTAACTTCAAAATGGTGAAAATATGCCTAAAGGTGACTAGTCTGCATTCTCTGGAATGAAAAACTACAATGAAGCATACGTAATCGTCCGCATATTAGACGGGCAAAAAACATCGAACAATCAAGACAAATGTCATGTTATAATTGACTAGCAAATAATATTCTAAGAACAGATTCTGTATTTAATTATATTAAGATTTTTTGTAATACAAATTGTAAAATAATGTACTACATTAATGACTTTGATGTTTTCTTCTTGGAAACGGATGAATATTTTACAAAAAAAATGTATTAGTAAAAAAAAACTTTTAATTACACTTTTGTGACATTGTGCAACACAATTAGTAGCTTATTGAAACGTAATAAGAGCTAAAATTAATTGTTGGCATTTAAATTCATTTGATTATGTAATTTTAAAATTGGAATTGTGACGCAAATATCAAATTGATGTTTCTTGACAAGATTTTAAATAATAATTTTGGTAATCAAATAGCTAATTTTGATTACAACATTGAATAAACTTTTTAAATTCTTGACTTCTTTTTTTTTACTTCTTGTTTGTAAGAAATTAAGAATAATCTTAGAGTATTTTTATGTACCATTCGAACGCGGGAAACGTTACTTAATGAGTAAAATAATACAATTACATAATACGTAATATTAAGTACATGTTTTTTTGTTTTATTCTGTACAACTCCGTGTTCTATTCTAAGATTCATTGAAAACCGGCGCTTCGGTGTACACCGCAGCACGTGCCGAATGAATTCTTTTTCTTTTTTTGAATAAACGAATTTATTTATTTACATTAATATAATGACTTCGACGTATATTTAATGGAAGATTTTCAACTGTTTTGTGGCCATTTGTTGCCAAAGGCGCGTCTGTTGAACAGAATTCGTGTCACTTAATTGTAAGGAGGTGAAAGTTTGCAACATATTATAGTATCTCTTTACAAATATTCAATGAAAACCTACGGCGAAGTAATCTTTTATTAGCATATGCCATTATTCTTACTTTTTTATGTTTTTTTTTTTAAATAGGAACGCAACAATATATAATCAAATAGCAACCAAACAGGAAATAATTATAATATATATTAATTTAGATACATGTCTAGTTTTTTTAGATAAACTTAATTAAATCTTGTATAGTCTCAGCATTTTTATCTTTAGGTAAATGAAAGTTGGATGTTTCTAGACGACTGTGTGACAAGGATAAGTAGATACATTAATCGTGTGTATGAAAGGGACAAAATATGATGTTCTAAAGACGCGCCTGTACTTTCTAACTTACCCGGGTACAATATAAAATGTACCTTAAAGCAATGAGTGTTAAGTTTAAATTACTAATGTATAAATAGACGAGTCAAAGGATTTTGAGGTGTGATTGATCGAACTCGATGTAATCCTTACAATCGATCTCTACAAAAATGGATCGATTGCCAACTGAACAATGGATCAGGTTTTTTCGATTACTGTAAGCTGCAGATTATCTGTAAAGAAAAGGTCAACAATTTTATTTACAGTGATTGAAAATTGTTCAAATTTATTCAATATTTTTGTTGCATACTAGCTTTCGACTGTGACTCCGTCCGCGTAAAATTTAAATAAAGTAAGTAGCCTATGTGTTCTTCCAGACTCTATACATCTTTGACAAATTTAGCAGTTTAGCTACAAACTCTAACACACATCCATCCATCAAAACTTTCCCATATATTTGTAAAATGTATTTTTGTGTCCTTAACCTCAAAACAACATCTCTATTTCAGATATTTTTCAATCAAAGATGATAAGACCAATCTGAAGTTTAGAAAACATACACTACAAAATGTCGGAGACGATAGAGAAACGTAAACAAAAGATGTCGCCATTCTTTAGACAGGTAATAAATGCCATAAAAATGTAGAAAAAAAATCAACCATTTAGATGAATCTATTCAACATGTAGTTCTTAACCGGATTGGTGCAACTAGACTAGAAAAAGTTATTAAAACCGGTGTAATACCACGACCACATAACAGTGGTAGTACCCGCTTTAACACCTTAGCACTGCAAGGCCTGCACGCCCGGTGTAATACCACGACCACACAGAAGACAGGCGTGAAATGGAAGCAATTCCATGTTTCGTGTGCGTGTTGTGCCGGAGGCCTAATTTTAGTCCCTTTCTCTTTACCAACCTTTTCTCACAAGAAGAGGATGGGAAGAGGAAGTGGATTTGACGGTGGAGGATACGCATAGCAAGGGGAAATATCCTCTTTATGTGCGTCTCCTCTTCCGTCGGATAAGGGTAGGCAACGCATCTGCAATTGCCGATGTCTATGGGCAGCGGTCGCTTCGCCATTTTGGTGGATTGAGGTGACCGCTTGCTCGTTTGCCATCTTATGTTATAAAAAAACAACGTGATATAGAAATAAGATTAGAAGTAATTTTAGTTATAAAATTTTAGACTCTGTAAATAAAAACATACTGAAAAAATTATTACACCCGCAACCCAGGTCCCTGAGTTAGTACATGTCAGGGCAACGAATAGAGCGGCAAAAAGGCCGCCCCAAAAAAAGAACCGGATTGGTGCTGCGAGGGCCGAGGCTGAAATGAAGATAAAACATAGAATTAGCAAGTAAAGTCGAAGTAGATAACATTAGAATTTTACAAGGAAACGGCTATCGCAGCAAAAAAAAAAACAGTTTAATATTTATGCAAAATATGTGTCCAAAAGATTATTTCGTATGCCATTTATGGCACGCGTGCCAGTAGCCACCTGCTCTAGGATCTACGCAATTAAATCACTCTATACGGTCCCTCAGGTGGTGGCAGTAAGTGGTGTTGTGCTGTACATGATTGGAACAGGCGCCAACATCGCGTACCCTGGCGTACTACTACAGCAGCTGCGGCTGCCGGACTCCGCCATGCGTCTCACACCGGACCACGAATCATGGATAGGTAACTTAGCATTGATTTAATTTTTTATAGTAGAACTGGGCAAACTTGTATTGGATTTGTGATTTTGCATCAACTATAGAAAATTTAAGTCCCTTTCTCTTTACCACCCTTTTCTTATAAGGAGAGGATGGGAACGGGAAGTGGATTTGACGGAGGAGATGCATAGGAAGGGGAAATATCCTCCTTATGTGCGTCTCCGCCTCTGTCGGACAATGGTAGGCAACGCATCTGCAATTGCAGATGTCTATGAGCATTGGTCGCTTCGTCATTTTGGCGGATTCAGGTGGCCGCTTGGTCGTTTGCCACCTTATGTTATAAAAAAAATCGCAGATGCGTTGCTACCCTTGAATGGAAATTAAATTGAACATTGTAACGGTCGAATTGTTCGAATTAATTGCTAAGGAATCTAATATTGGGGGGTGATTTCCACGATTTGTACGCATGAAATTGTGGAATAACTACTTACTTGTACATTCCCGCGATACGGCCTCATAGCAGGCAGGTTTTCTCCTATCAATGAAAGAAGCATTGCTGGAGTTCCTTCCGCCACTTCTTCTACCAGCGCTAACGCTTTCCGAAGTGGTAGTAATGTTAGATGTATTAATAATAATAATAGTAACCAGGTAGCAGCATCCGATCAAGTCGAGGTTCGGCACTCTCGGGCGCCCTTGAATCGGAATGCTAAACGCGTATTGAGTGACAGCCCAAGCCGAGGTTCCCTCTCGGGGGCCCTTGTGCCTAGTCGCTCCATGGAGCGTCCACCGAAGCGATCTAAGAGCTCGGTGGCCTCCCAATCCGGTAATAATAACAAAGTAACGGCTCGTGCCGAGGCTCCTAAGGGAGCCCTCCAGCTTAGTTACTCATAACCGAGGTTTAGGCTAAGCGCCATCTGCGCTCGGCCACCTCAAGTCGGGTGAATCTGTAAATGCCTCTTCAAGGCAGTGGCAGTTCAGTCACAAAAAAAATAAACTTGTATTGTCCTTCATAAGCATCTACTAAACAGCTATCATTAAAGGCAAATTACTTTGTGAGATATCATTTGTCATTATAGGTCATTATATTATTACCAGACACGATTCACAAGCGTGTAGATAATGACATGTTTAAAAGTGGATTAATAAAAAATCGACCTTGAATCGATCCCAAACGTGTGTAGATGTCACGTTTTACATCGCGTTTTCGTAGTCCTTTTGGGATTTAAAACAAGGAATATTAAGTGACCGCATCATCATCACCAGCTCACTATACGTCCCCACCGAGGGGCTCGGAGCCTACCCTAATAAGGGGTGACTAGGCCATAGTCAACCACGCTGGCCCACTGCGTGTTGGTTGACTTCACACATATCTTTGAATTTCTTCGCCGATATGTGCAGGTTGCACGATGTTTTCCTTCACCGTAAGAACGTCGGGTAAATTATGTACATATGAAAATTCGAAAAATCGTAAATTACATTGGTACAGCGGGATTCGAACCCAAGACCTGTAGATTACAAAGTGCTTAAACCACTGAGCTACCAAAGCTCTTAAAGAGAGCGCATACCTTTGACTAAAATATCGCACGACTGTTTAATCTCGCTTTGATTCCTATGATCCTATATGGAGGTTACACTACTCGATTGTTAGTTGTGTAACTAAACAGTTGAATTGGTTGCGAATCAATCGACAATCGCACAACAGTTGTGCGACAGTTTAGTCAAAGGTATGCGCCCGCTCTGAATGTCTAATAGTGTAAATACGCTCTTTGAATAATACTCCAGTTTGTTAAGGATAGTTCCACATTATACTCGGATAGTTCGGAAACGCATTTCATGACTTTATTTTAAACCGGCTAGTGAAATAGTAGTTTAACTTTTGTATTACATTTCCAGCTTCAATCCTAGGTCTTGCTCTGATCTCTGGGATTTTGGTGGCACCCTTCAGCTTGCAGAAGCTGGGCCGCAAGCTTACCAACCAGCTAAGTACGTTGCCTGCTATGGGCGGCTGGGCGCTGCTTGTAGCAGCTAAGGGGCCAGCCGCATTGCTTGCTAGTCGATCTTTACAGGTAATTTTATTACACTGTCCCACCACTGGCTGATAGAGGCTGAGATAGCTTAAAATAACATGCGAAAAACCCCGTATATTTTAAATGGCAAATTTTGCTTTTATATGTTATGCGTTTAAATTCCAGTATAGTTGGACATTTGCGATGCCAATCATAGATTGTATGCAATCATTGATGCCAGTTCACATTATGTCAGTTGATAGACAATCCATTTATTAATCGCTACTGACCAACTGTACTGGCTGAGTGTGAACCGCCCTTTAGTTTTACTTATTTGACACGTATGCATTAAAGTTTTGTAAAGAAATATGCCATCAAAGACTTTTAAATAATATGTAGACGAGACATTGAACATTTTTTCATCGGTACTTTCTCTCAAAGGTATTATAGTTGTTAATTTTAGTACTGGCAATTAATTTAAATACAACTACTCGTAATTATATTAACACTAGCTGTTTCCGTGCGACTTCATCCGCATTATCAATTGCAAATGTCAAAATGACATGACGATGACAAACCATGGCAACCTTGCTTCCTTGATGTTGGCAGAAACTTATGGTCTCTTTCCCATATTAGGGTTTTTATTCAAAATATTCACCCCCTAAGTTTAATGGTGTGAAATATATACCGTAAAGCGTGACGTTAGGGCTTTTTGTTAAAGAAAGAATTATTCAAAAATTTGCTGTGATTGCTGATATCTTAGGCAACAAAGAAGTGTGTGTTTGCGCTTTATTATAATAGTATAGATGTAGGTTAAGGATCTATCAATAGACAGCGTTAGTAAGATTATGTGAAAAATGTTTCAAGTGAAGTCAACTATGCCTCCTCTATATATTTTTCAATGTCTTTGAGTGCCATCTATACTAATGTTATAAAGAGGAAAAATTTGTATTTTTGTATGTAATCGATTCACGTAAAAATTACTAGACCGATTTCAAAAATTCTTTCACCATCAGAAAGGTAATTTATCTGTGAGTAACATAGGCTATATTTTTTATAATTTAACGCGGGCGAAATCGCGAGCAACATCTAGTCTTTTATATGCTTTCAAGCTATTATTTACAATATTTGGGTAAATTTTAGTTAAACTAACAAACGTATTTTTATTTTATCAGGGTTTCGCGATGGGTCTTCAAGCGGCGGCAGCACCCGTGACTATCGCGGAATACTCTTCGCCGAAATACCGAGGCGCCTTTTTGGCGACAATCGCCTTCTCTTTCGCCACAGGAATGCTTGTCGCACACATCTTCGGTACACTTCTTTACTGGAGAACAGCAGCTGTCGCTTGTGGGAGCTTCTACGCTGTTTCTTTGATCCTCATTTCCATTCCACCAGAAACCCCACCATATTTAGCATCTAAAGGCAAGAATAACGAATGCAGGAAATCCTTCAGATGGTTTCGAGGGAATGATGAGAATTCAGAAAAAGAATTAGAGGTTTTGTTAAACAGCCAGAAGAAGTATACACCGAAAGTCGCTCTGTTCACATTTTACCGTCAGATGATAACCAAGCCTGAGTTTTACAAGCCTACTGTTATTATGATGTTTATGTTTGTGCTGTTTCAAATATCCGGAATGACAGTTGTACCTTCTTACACTGTTCCGATGATGGAAGAGGTTTCCGGTGGTACTATTGAAGCGTATACTAGCATGCTTATGGTAGACGTGGTGAGGTTCTTGACAGCTGTCATAGCTTGTATTGTTGTCAACAAATTGAGAAGGAGAACGGTCCTTTTTGTTGGCATCATTGTAAGTGTTGTCTCACTTTTGACAGCAGCGTTACTTCTCTATTTGAGAGATCTAGGTTATTTACCCGAGGAATATAAATGGACGCCAGTCGTTCCTACACTTTTATATATATTTGGTAAAACTTTAGGTATATTACCTATACCTTGGGCGATTGCAGGTGAAATCTTCCCCTTGGCGTACAGAAGTATTGGTAGTGGTATTTCTGGAATGTTCCTTTCAGTTATGTTCTTCGTCGTTGTGAAAACCGCGCCTACATCGTTCAGACAGATTGGAATTAACGGAACGTTCTGCGTTTATGGCATCAGTATCGCCATTTGCGGAGTTTTCTTGTTCTTTTTACTACCGGAGACGAAAGGGAAGACGTTGTTTGAGATTGAATGTCACTTCAGAGGGGAGAGGGAGAAAGAACTGAATGAGAAGGACGTGATGCTGGAACTGAGAAAAGTGGAGGAGGGTTGAGGAGGAGAATTAGAAACACAGGAAATGCTTTCCAGCTGCAAAGCTGGCCCCGTTGGCAGGAGAATATCTAATCGTAGTATTAAATAGTAGAACAATGAGTCTTTTTACAGCGACAGATTTTGCTCTAAACAATATATACACCGGGCAGTTTTAACGATATTAAAGCCCTGGGCGAGACCTGCGCCCTTCCCTAAAGACGGTAATAGCGCGAGGCAACGTGTTGTGTCGCTGTTCGAAGATTTCTTGTCTAACATATAATAGGTGACAACTAAATTTTAGTCTGTTTAAAAGCTTTTTTAATAAAGATGACATTACAAGAAAGTAATTTTATTGAATACCATTTAGTTTCCACTTATCACAAACTTTACTAACAGAATTAATTTAAACATCAAAATAAAATTAACAATTTATTTAATAAATTATTTATTCAATCAAATAAACCAATATTAATTATTAAAATTAAAAATTTGTTAAACAAACTTATGTAATTATCTACATTTTATTTTTATTATACTCACAGCCTTAACTTACAATATTAATATTGCTTACTTCAATATAAAAACAACATTTCATTCGATAACATTCTTTACCTTACAAAACAAGCAAAAATAAATAGACTCGTAAACTATGTTGTTGTTCATTTCAAATATGGCGACGCGAACATCCTACACCTAAAATTATATTTTACGTACGTAAAAAGTGCCGCCAACATATTTCGGATAATTCCCAACCGTCACCCTGCTCTGTACCTACGTGGACACAGATGAAAATAAAAATTTTATCCGTCAAGCCTTTTGCGACTAGTGGACGGTTGGAACTAACTTAACGGTTCCATCTGTCACCTTATTGGTGATAGTGGGACTAAAAGGTGAGACGGATGAAACTTTTTCTCACGTCGGGACAGAGCGGTGTGACGGTTGGGAACCCTTAAATCATCTATACCTCAGTAAAGTATATGTGAACTACATCTTCGCATTTCAATAATCGCTTTGCCGTTCAAAGGTTCCGCACTCTTGTAGTCCTCCGCCGTCCAGCCACGGAAACTGTTCTCAATATCCTGAAGGGTCCTATCCTTTGTTTCCGGCATTAAAAAGTAAATAACTATCAAACAAATCACCACAATACCGGCGTAAAGACAATAAGTAAATGGCAACCCAATAGCACCAATTAATACAGGGAAAGATTTTACAGCAACAAAGAAATTTAAAGACAAAGCCCAAACACTTATACCGCCGCCTAAACCTCGATATTCCAATGGGAATATTTCCCCAGATATAGCAAAAGGTATTGAAGATATTCCTATCGTTAGAGAAAACATATAAGTTCCAATCAAAAACAATGGTATCCATTGGTTATCGTAAGGTAATAAACCATTTTGTTTACTATATAAATATCCAGCTTTACCCAAATAAGATAATACACAAATCGTAGCTGTACTAAATAACAATGTCCTTCGTTTCATTGTTTTCATTAAAAATACGGCTAAAAGATTGCAAATTAGTCTCTCAATATCCAACGCCACCATTATTACTTTAGCGTTCGCGTCAGGTCCAATCAATTGATGAACTATATCCATGACATAAGAACTCAAAACGTTTATACCAGCAAATTGAAACATCGTATATAATAAAAACATTATTAAAATAGGCTTGTAAAACTCCGGTTTTGTCGATGTTTTACCTAAATAACTAAATAATAGTTTAATTCGTACACCGATAGGTTGTTTTTCAACACCTATACTGGATTTTCGCGCGGTTTTTTGAGCAGCGATTAAATCATCTAATTCCATCCGTTGTCTTTCGTCTTTTCCTCTTAACCAGAAGAATATTTCAGTCGCTTTCTCGTCTCTTCCTTTTGATATCAACCACGAAGGAGATTCGGGAGCATAAATAATTAAAAGCAAACTTATAAATGTAATAAACGAGCAGATAAGTGCGTTCTGTTGCCAGCTGAAGCATGTGCCTAACGCGTGTGAGAAAAGGACGCCGATAGTGAGAGCGAGAGAGACGCTAGTCAGAAACGCGCCTCTGTTCTTCGGGTCCGTCATTTCTCCGATGATAATCGAACCTAGAGGTCCTAACATTCCCATAGCGATGCCTTGTAGGAACCTGGCAATGATGAGACCAGCTACGTTGTTTACCATCAGCAGCATAAACCAACCAGTCATGTTTGGCAGGATGGTCAGCAAATGCGACTTCTTCCTCCCCAATGTGTCCATCAATGGAGTGATGATGAAGTTCCCAACTATGAGCGCGAAACCCACGATAGATGCTGAAAGAATAAAGAAATTCAATTTTAATATATAGATTATTTGATTTGTATGTCCTGGTACACCGTTGGTCTTGAAGGAACTTGTATAATGTACAAAAGCTGCAATGGCTTCATCAAAACCCATATTTTATTTACTAAAAAAAAAAAAAAACATACAGACGAATTGAGTACCTCCTTCTTTTGGGAAGTCGGTCAAAAAAGCTTTTAAAATAGACTAAGGATAGTTACAAATTCCTTCCGATAGATGGCGTGCTAAAGTTTAGTAACAGTCATAAATATATAGTCGGTCTCCCCTAGACTAATATAATACTGTTCTCACCTATCCATGACTCCTCGCTCGGAGTAGCGATTATATGCGAGTCGGGACTGCGCAGTGCAGGGATAAGCACAGCCGCATATCCTATTACCGCACCATGTCCCACGATGTTCAGCGCTACGCTAGCAGTTACAAAGCACTAGAAAACAAAAATTTAAACTTAGAGCAACGCCATCTAGTGTCAAGTAGGATAACTAAAGTTTTAGCGATTAAAAAATAAATAAATATTTAAACTATAAACGGTAGATGGCGTCAACGGTGATTGTGCTTTTTGTCTTTTGACAGTAATCATTTTATTCATTCCAGAGAAGTTTTTTAATAATTGTCACACTTAATCGTGCGATATCTGAAGTGAGAAAAAGGAAGTGAAGTCTACTTTCCGGTGGCTACACCGAAATCACCATTACAAAGGTTAAAACAATGTAATTACACTAGTTTAATTGTTAGCAGCATTATAACATGAGTGGGCAATTATAATCGACACATAAAGCATTTGTTTATATTGCACTTCAGTTTGTCGCGAAATCTCTGATAACACACGCTTCAGACATATTAATTTATAATAATAATTGATATTAACCAAGTATTTACACACTCCAAACAATGCCTTGGACAAAAAAATCAGTGTAATTTTTTTTGGTCAAGGATCTTTTTGATAAAGATAAATTATTGATCTTAATCTTGTTTTTTTAGCACATAAAATATAAAATTAAACAAAAAAATGAACCAATAATTTAGGAATACATTTGTTCATTATTAACACATTCGAAACTAAAGAAATGTCTTAACCCATACTATTATAAAGAGGAAAGATTTGTATTTTTAATTTATTGAAATAACTCAAACACTACTGGGCCGATTTCACAAATTATTTCACCATAAAAAATTGAATAACATATTTTTAACTATCTTTTAATTTCACGCTGACGAGGTTGCGAGCAACAGCTAGTTTTATTTATAAATTACATGTACTGTTTTTCAATTTTCTTAAATAGTGTTATTAAAACTGTTTACATATGTAATTCACAGATGGCGTGCTTAAAACAAGCTTGACAGAGAGATTTTACCCTTGCAAAAGGCCTACGAAGTACTTTTATTGGCTTCACGTTTGTGCTATGGATTAAATGTCTATCGGCACAGATTATACATTTCTTTACTAATATCGGTTATAACAGGATCTGTGCTTGAACGTGAACGTATTACGATACAAAGTATCTGTTCAGATACTTAGAGATACGGGTAATTAATTACTATGGCTATAATCAGTTGTTATCAACAATCTCACGGCTGAATGTCTTCTTGATTCTGACGATAAACATGGCTACGTCAAGGTCATCTGGGTTAATAAAACGATTTTAAAAATGTTCATAGTTAAAAAAACATAAATGTGAAATGGAGAAATGCAGTTTTATTTAAACGCGTTATTTATTTTTAGGTACTGCCAAGAAGCGTAAAAAAGCTTTTTAAACGGTGACCACAGATTATAACGCACCAAATCACTTGTCAAATGTAATTAATTGTAATAAATAATTTAAATCTTATCAGAGAAATTTTATTGATAAATTACTTGGTAACAAGATTTGAAAATTCGCTATTATTTTCTAAGTTATTGTATTATTCTTGTTACAATTTTACGCATTGTAAATTAATCAGACGTGCCCACAGATAAGAAATAAGATTGCTTATTCTTTTGTCTTCTTAAAAAATATATTTTTAAGCCATGCCCAAATGTTCGCCAAAAGGTTAATCATTTTTCGATGGCTCCATCCATAAGCTGGCACTTAAAATTACTTTAACTCAGTGTATATTTTAATGCGAAAATAAAAGAAAATATCGAAGAGGTAGCTATCGCCCGCGACACTGTCTGCGTGGAATTAAAAAAAACAAAACTGAGTAGCCCATTTCTTCTTCCAGACTATCCACTACATCTGTACCAAATTTCATCGAAATCGTTTCAGGCGTTTAGGTTACAAACTTTAACAAACATCAATCCATCTAAACTTTCGCATTTATAATATTAGTATGATTTGTAAAAAAAATCGAAATAAATTATAACTATTAAAATACCTTACGCAGTATTTAGTAGTAATATTTTTTTTAAATAAATTTGCGGTTTTTTGCTTAAAATACACTAATTAAAATCCAAAAACATTTTTGTTCAAAACTTTATATTTACAATTAAAGATTTATTAAAAAATTTACGTTAAAAAATTACAAAACAGTTGTCAGTGTTTTTAATGTTATTTTTTAATTTTATTAGTTAAAAATCAGTGTAGTTAATAAAAATAAATCTGTTTAGGTAGGAAAAATTACATATTTCTTATTTCACGTATTTATTCTTTCAAACCAAAGCATAAAATCAAAAAATTACTCCGTGCGTCAAATCTCAAAAACGTTTGCCTTTTGTTTTCTTTTTAAATAAAAACAACAGATTATACAAGCTTACCTGCCGCAAAAATGGCAAATATTTCGATTCACTCTTACTCATTTTGCTACACTAATGTACTATCAAAGTCGAAACAACATATTTTAGAAATCTTCTGTGTTAAGAGTTCCGTTCCGTTTAACAAGCTGCAGGATTGTGTGGTATCTAAAGTCAAACGATATCCACACGATAGTCAGATTAGATTAATTATTATTTGTTCACTTTTAATATCAATGCAATGATAATGTGACGCAAACGATTTTACGCGGGAAATAGACAAACGAATTATAGATATTTTTTCTACATCGAGAAACAATTACAGATGTAATTATTAGATAATTGTTTTTTTTTTAATCTGTAGTAGAAATTTATAATTCCCGCGTTTTTGTAAAATTATTTTAATGTCACAGAATTAGATGTAATCTATACTGATATTATAAATAGGAAAAATTTTTTTGATTGTAATGAATAGGCTCAAAAACTACTGGGCCGATTTTAAAAATCCTTTCACCGTTAGAAAGGCAATTTATCTGTGAGTAACATAGGCTACGTTTTTTTATTTTTTTTTTGAAACTTCACGCGAATAGAGTCTAAGCTAGTTTATAGTAAGAAGCTTATAGGTTCAAAATGAAAATTCACAGTTTCATTTCACCAAAGACAAATCAATGTACATTGGAAACTTTTTAACATTTAATAAATTTATCTTTATTCAAAGAATGCGTACAAGACTTATGAGTTAGATTTGAAAAGAACATTCTGCATCTGTTTTATTTCCGCTTTTCCCATTGGCTGGAACGGTTGCAGTCCTATAATTCGGTTAAAAAAAACGCATTTCTCGCTATGTTGTAACGAAAAAGTGATCTAAGATTGCATTGAAATCAACGCATTTATCAACAAATAATCCTGCAATAATGATGTAAGCTGCAAGCTACCAGTTTTTAATTTCCAATAATAGATTGAAACAAGATAAAATACTTTATCAACAAATTAAATTTCAATCTAAATTCGATATGATAATGCCCATAAATTTCGTCTCATTTTAGTTTTTTGGATAAGAGAATTAATTTTGGAAATAAGCCTTTTTGTGTTAATCTGATTAACTTCAAATATCGTTTCTTACAGTAAAGGCCACATGTGCCTGGATGTCAGTTTTAAAAATTACGTAACTGCAATAAAGCTTGAGAAAAAAAAACAATTGAATTATAACTAATTATATTTATTACTTAATACAGGATGATTACAGACGATTGTGTTTAAAATAAATTATCAGTCTTCAGTTACAAATATAAAACTTAAAAACAAATATCACAAATTATTAAAAATACTGATTAGATACAAGTCCGAGTTTAAGTCAAATTCAAAGTAACTTTAGTCCACTTCTTCCACGGTGGGTCCACGATTATGGTTTCCGTACATGCCGCCAGGATAACCACCAGGCATACCACCCGGCATACCTCCTGGCATACCGCCTGGCATACCTCCTGGCATACCTCCTGGCATACCTCCTGGCATACCGCCTGGCATACCGCCCTGTGGACCAGCCTGCGCGCCGCCACCGTGCATCTTGGTCATGATGGGAGAGCAGAGGCGCTGCAGCTGCGTCAGACGGTGCTCGTACTCCTCGCGCTCAGCCAGCGTGTTGTTGTCCAGCCACTTGAGCGCGTCTTCACACTCGCGCCGCGCCGTGCTCTTGTCCTCCTCGCTCAGCTTGTCTCCCGCCTCCTCCACCGCCTGCTTCACGCTGAACACGTAAGACTCCAGCTGGTTGCGGGCGGCGACCCTCTGCCGCTGCTTCTCGTCTTCTTCTTTGTAGCGCTCCGCCTCAGACAGCATGCGGTCGATGTCAGCCTGCGATAGCCGCCCCTTGTCGTTCTTGATAACGATGTTCTTGCTGCGGCCCGTGCTGTTCTCCTTGGCGGAAACGTTCAGGATGCCGTTGGCGTCCAGGTCGAAGGTGACGTCTATCTTGGGCACGCCGCGCGGCGCCGGCGGAATGCCCGTCAAGTCGAACGTGCCCAGCAGGTTGTTGTCCTTAGTCATCGCGCGCTCGCCCTCGTATACCTGGATAGTGACCGCCGGCTGGTTGTCGGAGTACGTAGTGAACGTCTGGCTCTGCTTGCACGGGATCTTGGAGTTGCGCTCGACGATCTTGGTCATCACTCCGCCGGCGGTCTCGATGCCGAGCGACAGCGGCGCCACGTCCACCAGCAGCACATCCTGAATCTTGGAGTCCTTCTCGCCGCTCAGGATGGCGGCCTGCACGGCTGCGCCGTACGCCACGGCTTCGTCAGGGTTAATGGACAGGTTGAGCTTCTTGCCACAGAAGAAGTTTTGCAGCAAGCTCTGCACTTTCGGGATGCGGGTGGAGCCGCCGACTAGCACCACATCGTGGATCTGGCTCTTATCCATCTTGGCATCCTTGAGCGCCTTCTCAACGGGCTCCAGGGTGCCACGGAACAGGTCCGAATTAAGCTCCTCGAAGCGGGCACGGGACACACGTGTATAGAAGTCGATGCCTTCGTAGAGCGCGTCGATTTCGATGGTAGCCTCGGTGCTAGAGGAGAGCGTCCGTTTAGCGCGCTCAGCAGCCGTACGCAGGCGGCGCAAAGCTCGCGGGTTTATTCGTAAATCCTTCTTGTACTTACGCTTGAACTCTTCGGCGAGGTGATTCACCAGTCTGTTGTCAAAGTCCTCGCCTCCCAGGTGAGTGTCGCCGGCTGTCGCTTTAACTTCAAACAGGGAGCCCTCGTCGATAGTGAGAATGGACACGTCGAAAGTACCACCGCCGAGATCGAATATCAGCACGTTGCGCTCGCCTTTCAGGTTCTTGTCCAAGCCGTAAGCCAACGCGGCGGCTGTGGGCTCGTTGATGATACGCAATACGTTCAAGCCGGCGATGGCGCCCGCGTCCTTGGTGGCCTGCCGCTGCGAGTCGTTGAAGTACGCCGGCACTGTGATGACAGCCTCCCGCACCGAACTGCCGAGGTATGCCTCTGCGGTCTCCTTCATCTTCGTCAGCACCATGCTGCTGATCTCCTCCGGTGCGAACCTCTTCCTCTCGCCCTTGAACTCCACCTCAATTTTGGGTTTTCCGCCCTCACTGATCACTTTAAACGGCCAATGTTTCATGTCTTGCTGGATCTTGGGGTCGTCGAACTTGCGTCCTATCAGCCGCTTGGCGTCGAACACTGTATTGTTGGGGTTGAGGGCCACCTGGTTCTTCGCTGCATCGCCGATCAGCCGCTCTGTGTCGGTGAATGCTACGTACGATGGTGTGGTCCTGTTGCCTTGGTCGTTGGCGATGATCTCCACATTGCCATGCTGCCACACTCCCACACATGAATACGTCGTTCCCAGATCTATTCCAATTGCTGGCATTTTGTTATTATTTTACTACTCTTCTCGTAAATGTACTGTAATTTCCCAATAATATTAAACTGCTTGCAAACACGTTTGGTAAACACCGAGCTCTTCTCTTCGTCCTCTTTGTATCGCGTTTCAAATGTGACTGACTTCCCGCGCCGGTCGTCGCGCTTTTATATTAAACCAATAAAACTCTCGAAACATCGCGTAACGTCAAAAGCGCGACCAATCAGAACGCGCTGTTACAAGAACGTTCTAGTAAAGCAGTCGAGAACAATCTAGAGCCTAAAGTTGGAACGAGACAGCATGAAACATGACACAATTACGCATTTGGGGATAACACTTTATTATTTTTGCTTTTGTTTCGGGAAATTTTAAATTTTTATATATTTCGGTGTTGTGTAAATTATTATTATATTTAGTGTTTTGTTAGCTGTCACTGGTACAAACTAGAAGAATTTTTGCTTTAACTATACCTTACCATACTTTTTTTTTTTATAACATAAGGTGGCAAACGAGCAAGCGGCCACCGGAAATCGCCAAAATGGCGAAGCGACCGCTGCCCACAGACATCCGCAATTGCAGATGCGTTGCCTACCCTTATCCGACGGAGGAGGAGACGCACATAAAGAGGATTTTTCCCCTTCCTATGCATCTCCTCCACCGTCAAATCCACTTCCTCTTCCCAACCTCTCTTTATAAGAAAAGGGTGGTAAAGAGAAAGGGACTTAAATTAGGCCACTTTTTACTATTCGTCCCTTCTCACTAAATGTATATAGTGCATACTATTAAAAATATGAGTGAGCAAGTTTTTCGATGTTTACGTAATTTTTGATTGAATTGGTTGATTTTGCACTTTTGCTATAGTCCCCTAAAAACATTTACCATTTTTACTTCTCATTTAAATAGGGAATTTTAAACAGACCAATATGGCAACACTACAGTAGAATAATCTGGGCTGTTCCATGCGAGTGTTCGATGTGCGAAAGAGATAGATGGAAAAGGATAGAGATGTACTCTACGAACTTTATAAAAACTTCTACCCTAGCATCAGTGGAATGTAAAACAATTTTCTTTCTTATTTAATAATTGGAAGTTCGATAAAACATAAAATGAAACTTATGTAGACATAAAAATAAACGTAATTGTAATTAGTATTTTTTAATAAATCGTGTTATGTGTAAATCTGTATTCTCGGAACAGTATTTGTCTCAGAATTGTTTACTTAGAAACGTAATTCTAAAATGATTTATTTAATATATTAGCATAATATTGTTGTGTCCAGATTATTTGTCAGGGAAAGTTAAAGAATTTGTTTTCTCTTGTGTAAGTATAGTAAATGTATAAAAGAAAAAAACTTATGATGTTGAAATAATAAATATCGTATAGGTACTTAGTCGTAATTTTTTCTTGGATAATCTCATATAATATTCTATAAATAGAATAGAATAGTTCTTATTGTACAAAAACTTTAAAGAACAGTATTCTAAATTTTAACAACAATTTTTTTTTTTATAATTTTGTTTAAATAAGATTGAGAAACTGCAAATATTTTTCAGATAGATTTACATTTAAAACATAGATGGCGCTATTCACATTATTTAACTGTTTTACTTATTTAAATAAAATAAAATCTTGCATGGAAAAATGTAATAATTAATTTTTGATTTTAACATAATTGTCAAAGAATTAAAATAATCTTTACTTCTAAGTTCAATTAGATGGTACATATTTTTCCCATCCTTTTGGATTGATTTTGTTATTCTTATTATGATATCGTAATGTTTTCACAATTCATCCTTCTCCTCATTTTATGGAGTGCATTTCAAAAATTCTTTTTCAGAGGCTGTGTGTCTGGGTTTTATAGGTAGAATGTAAGTATAGTCCTACAAGGAAATCAGTCTCGGTGGCAGTCAAACTACTAGCATAGTATTATCTGTGGTCAAACAGCTCGGCGGCCCGCCTGTCAATGTCAAATAAATCTCATAAGATTCCTTTCGTATTGTAACTGTCATGTCCTTTTCTCTGCCTATTTTTGATAGGTTTAATATTTTCTAACAGAAATAAGGATCTAGGATTTAATTTTATTTTATTTGCCTATATTAAGTGTTATTTATTCTGTTTTAGTTATTAGATTCGTGTAAAAAAGGTTAGGCTGATCATGTTCGACCAAGTAGTTTCATTTTTTATCACAAATGAATCCCTATTTCCATATGTTGATTTAACTATTTCTTTTGTTTTTTTGTTATTGCACAAGCTTCTAAGAGAAACTAGAATGGTATTCGATCTCGATTTTTGCATATAGAACATCTGGACAGCTATTTTACTAGTTTTTTTTTATTCCATGCGTAATTGCCAGTAACAGCTATAGAATCTAAAAGCATTTCTTATCGGGACACAATAAATAAAACACAAAAATGGAATTAATTTTTGTTTTTAATTTTGCATTCATTGTAAGGATAGAACACCAGTTATATAATCTCGTAACATTAAAACAATAAATATTCATTTTAATGTTACAAGTACTTAAAACTATGCACTCCTCCAAATAGTTTTGAATGAAATAGTGATAATATTTCAAACAAAACTAACCGGAGGTCTCTTGGTGATGTTTGACGGGCCCGCCTGCAGGTCAGTGCGGCGGGCCCGTCGCGTCTCTCGAAGTTTGATCCTCCTGCGCCGCGGCCGTACATCTTCAGACCAGCGCACTCCTCCGATTACATTTGTGGTTCTCAGAGAGCCATCCCCGGTGATACAAAACTAATCGGAGAAAATGGATTCCAACAGTTTGTAAGCCTTTCCAATCCACGGCGGGAGGACCCCGCGGGCTGCCTGCCCACGGGCTACTGGCTACCACACCGGCTGCTGAGCTTTTATATTGTACGGTCGTGGTAGAAAAGTCTACCATGGACCAGAATCGTCCAATCAGAATCTAGAATCGAGAGATTCAGTAAATCAATAGAATTATGCTGGAACGAGATGGAATGTTCGAGATCGGCTGGGGGTTGGGGTGAATTTACCCCAACCGTCAGTGTTAGGTAGAATCTAAATTTCTCCCAAAACTGTAGGGAGATTTTCTCATATTGAATTTGTTTACTTCATTGTTACATCATAATAAATAATAAAATTAGTACATCGCCGTTTCTTATATTGATTATTAAATTACAGTTACATTCAGAAATACAAGTTCTGTCTTCAATTACTCGATTACAAACCATCATTATCAAAGATACGGTTATTGCATATTACACGTTAAATAATATTAATACACGCTAATAATAAAAATATTAAATTACACTTATTTTTCCTTTAAAATAAAATCTTGTTATTATCTTGGGAAAATTTATTTTTTTATGGCAACACTATATGCATTACACCTCGAGCTCACGCTTTGTGTGCATAGGGTTGTCACCTTTTCCAATTGCAGGATGCACATCCAAATTACAAGTGTTTCATCAATATCTTGTTGTTAAAACAGTATTATCTAAATTAAGTCACTTAATATTGTTTTATTATTTCTTTGTTAGGATTGAGAAGGCACTAGAAAACATTTTCGTTGACAGTTTTCGATGCTACTTTCTTAAAAGTTGACAACCCTAATGCTGATCCATCGCAACATCCATATCTCTTTCTCTTTCCCTCGGAGCGGTGGAGCCTTGTCGGGATATTTAGAAAATAATATTTTATTTTATTATTAACTTTAAAAAAATATTGTTATAAAATAAAAATACCTTTAGTTCAAATTGAATATGGATAGATATCAAAGCGACTTGAATGTTTTTTTTTAAATATATTTTTGAAATAATTGAATCATATTTTATAACTCTTAACAGGTAATTTTCAAATACTTCATTAATACTAAAAACTTTTAAAACATACAAAGTCTAAAATAAAGAACAGATACGATACTGTAACAGTAACATTCTATACCAGAAAAAAATCCAACATATTAAATAAGAAATAAATCAGCAAGCATCGTCACAGGTAAAAGCTAGTAATTCTAGAACCTTCGAATCAATACTCGTCTAGATGTGCATGCTATCGCTGTCTCTTTCCCGCGGTGCGGTGGAACCAACTCGCAGAATATTTAAAATTATTTATTTTACTAGTGAAAAAATGTTTTATAATATTTGATTGCTAAAATTTACTGTGGATTTCCACTACGTCTAGGATTCACAAAAATGTTGTTGTTTCTGAAATTTTTGTTATAGAATGGGAGATAAAAATGTTTTTTTTTTTTAATATGTATATTAGCAAAGTGGACTGCATTAAAGATCTAGGCTTGGACTGTTATTTGTGACTCATGTGTCTGTTTTCTTTCGTAAATAATAGATATAAATAAAAAGCATAATAAATCTAACTAATATTATAAATGCGAATATATGTATGGATGTTTTTTTAATATGCAACGTCCATCGGTCTGAATAAAATTTTAAGTCTATCTGTTGCTTGCAACTCCGTCCGCGTTGAATTAAAAAAAAAACATAATTACGCCTAAGTATTTTTCCAGACTATCCTCTACATCTATGCCAAATTTTATCGGGATCCGTTCAATAGTTTAAGCTACAAACTGTCACAAACATCCATCCATCTAAACTTTCGCATTTATAATATTAGTGAGATTACTATATGTAGAATACTGTCTCGGACGACGCAAACGCTCCGAGCAGAATCGGGGGCGACTGTTAGTATATATAAAATAAAACAACTAATTAATTAAACATTTATTTATTTAAAATCTACAAAAATCAGTCTTTGAAATTTATAAAATATTTGAGAAAAATTCAAAATTTTGTTTTAACGCCTTTTTTTCTTCTGTGGTGTCTTTTCTTCTACCTCACCGTTCTGTTCTTCTTGCTTCTTCCTTCTTATTGGTCCTGTCTGGGTTATGGGTATCACCCTCTCGCCTTTTTGACTCGATTCTCTTGGCGCGAACACTGTTAGTACACCATCTGAAGATAATTTGGATACGACAGTCTCTGGATTGCAATCCTCAGGTAAGGCGTAACGTCTTTTAAACTGACGTGATATGAATCCATGTTCGTCTTCCTTTTCTTCATGTTTTCCTTCAACAACGATATATCCGTCTACAGTTTTCACGCTTATTTCTTCCGGAGCGAAATGTTGAACGTCCAAGTTTACTTGGAACTTGTCTATGTCAGTTTTGATTGTCGATCCGATGTCTCGATTTAACGTCGATAAGTTCCTCCATGGGCGAATGTATTGCCGTAAACGTAAAGATGGACGCCGGTCCAAGCTTAGAAGTAAGTCGTCGGATAAATCCGTGTCGAAAAGTGAATCCCGTACACGTCTTGGTACAATATCGTCAAATAATAACGGTAGAAGTGCCATTTTTAATTCTGATATTTGACGATTGAAAATCGCTCAGACAATGTAAACTTCGCTTGTCACAGAACTTGTCGTTCAATGTACTGAATAGCTGCGCCCAAGCCGCGCTGGTTTTTATATTATCAGCCTTCAAACGGAATGGTGCCAGACAATTCTGGAACCAAGTAGATATTTCTTGAAGATTAGCGCCATCTGTCTACACATAGACAAACTACAAGCAGTAATTTTATAAAAATTATCAAAAATGGCTATATCGAAGAAGAACAGAAACATTTTTTGAGTAATTAAACATTTAAAATATGGTGAAATCATAAAAAAATATAATAATACATCTAAAAAGTCCGAATTATTTTAAATCTAATTCCTGACCAAGTGCCATCTCTTGACAAAAAGTAGAAATAACTCCGATAATGTGTCTTGTAAAAATTTTCGAAAGATGGCGTTAAATTAATATTTTTCTAATTTAATGTTCCCAAACTAAAAACTAATTTCTACGTAATACCTAAACGATAACATTTTAAAAACTCTTGAAATAATCTTTAAACAAGTAAGATTTACTCTAAAAAGCAACATCTACGTAGATAATTAATGAATTATTAAAACAAATGTCGAGTAATTGCACTTTGTTTCCTACAATATTAAAAATATGACAATCTGCATTGTCATCCCGGATTAAACATCTTAATTTGTTAAAAACGTATAACTCTTTTTATACTAAATAAAAGCAAATTTTCTTATTTGTTGATAAAAAACTTAACCTCAAATTGCATCATGCATGTGTGGGCAATGAATAATACTTGTTACTTTGAATTCTTATCTACTATGAATCTAGAATTATAACCGCATTGTTAGTAATCTAATAAAGTATACTTCAAAAATCTATATTTCATTAAAGCCTGATAATAAACCTAGCCTATGTTTAAATTTCCATGCAAAAATCTATTCAGGTAGGAACCCATACACTATTGTTCTTATTTGAAGACAAAGAAAATTCAAATCTCCGTTAGTAATTGTAAAAGTAAAAAGTATTTTTTAAAACATTAGATTTCACGTGTTCCAGAAATGAAAATTATAAATATAAACAAAACAATCAGTAAAAAAGTAAAAAACGCGCAAAGTTGACATAACCCTAAAATTTGTCGTAATTCTTAAAGCAATTTTGTTCTAATTATTAGAACTTCTAAGTATTAGGGTATTTGTATTAGGAATCGGTTTTACTATGTAAAAATGCACCCCAAGGCTATAATGCATAAAATCAATACAAAAGTTCATGGATTAATCTAGAACCCGGCAAAATAACTACTACCGGTCGGTTAACTCGGATGACTACAGCGCTTCGAGTGTCGAAAAGACGAACTAATAACCGGAAACGTACTGAATGTTCCAGAAGGAAATATTAAAGTTGGTAAAACATTATTTTAAAAGGTGAAATAAATTGTCTTTAAGATAAAGGTTGATTATTAATTTAAATCAATAGTTTTTACACAAAAATCTCCTACATATATCTTTCTAAAATGTTTATTCAGAAGTAATCAATCGAAAGTTCTAGAACATTCGAGAATATTCCACACGTTTTGACGGCTGGTCATGTGACGCCGCGATGCGGAGAGTAGCAAAACTAAAAGTTGGTTTACTCTGGCATCCTAAACCTTTTAAAAAATAATGTTTTTAATCAATCACGTTTGAATATTGGATTTTCGTTATTTTGTTGTTAAATTATTAGGGAAATTTCAACGTTAATGTTTATCAAAGCTCGTTCTTCTAAATCGCTTTAAACCTTAGCATCTTACTATCCATGGCCCATGAAACTTGAGACTTTTTGTGAACAAATCAATTATCAGTATTTCATTTATAACTTTTACGTTTAATATCTTTAGTACACAAAGTCTAAGATTTTCAACGATTTTTAAGAACGAAATAAAATTTCGAATGAGTAATTTGTGGAAACAAGTATTAAATTCTAACCAACGGTTACAAACCTCTGGAAAGCGCCGCGCCAAATCTAGAATTTTCCATTGGATCATAGATGTCGCTGCAGTGCGCGGGTATAAATACATGTTCTGACAAATGCCGGCGTTATTTGAGAAATTACAAGAGCGAGATACGTTAGTACGATACTCTGCGATTTTAACACGTGCTCTTTAACAAACCGCGTTGCCAGTCAAGTATTCTGTGAATATAGAAACGTGAAACTATTTTATAGAAACAATTTTAAGTGATAAATTCAAAATGCCAGAAGAGATGCAGGTCCAGTCGGGCGAGGTGGAGACCTTCGCCTTCCAGGCGGAGATCGCCCAGCTCATGTCCCTCATCATCAACACATTCTACTCGAACAAAGAAATCTTCCTTCGAGAGCTGATTTCCAACTCATCTGACGCCTTGGACAAGATCCGATATGAATCCCTCACAGATCCGTCGAAGCTTGACAGCGGTAAGGAACTTTACATCAAAATCGTTCCTAACAAGAGCGAAGGCACACTTACAATCATCGACACCGGTATCGGAATGACAAAGGCAGATCTAGTCAACAACCTGGGTACGATTGCCAAGTCCGGAACAAAGGCATTCATGGAGGCGTTGCAAGCGGGAGCCGACATCAGCATGATTGGTCAGTTTGGTGTTGGTTTCTACTCTTGCTACTTAGTAGCCGACCGTGTCACCGTTCACTCCAAACACAACGATGACGAGCAGTACATGTGGGAGTCTGCGGCCGGCGGTTCCTTCACAGTTCGTCCCGACCCGGGTGAGCCCCTCGGCCGCGGTACCAAGATTGTCCTGTTCATTAAGGAAGACCTGACGGAGTACCTGGAGGAGCACAAGATCAAAGAAATTGTCAAGAAACACTCCCAGTTCATCGGCTACCCCATCAAACTCGTCGTAGAGAAGGAACGTGAAAAGGAATTGTCCGACGACGAGGCCGAGGAAGAAAAGAAAGAAGAGAAAGAGGATGACAAGCCCAAGATCGAGGATGTCGGCGAAGACGAAGAAGAGGACAGCAACAAGGAAAAGAAAAAGAAGAAGACCATCAAGGAGAAATACACCGAGGACGAGGAGCTGAACAAGACCAAGCCGATCTGGACACGTAATGCTGACGACATCACGCACGAGGAGTACGGAGACTTCTACAAGTCCCTTACTAACGACTGGGAGGACCACCTGGCAGTCAAACACTTCTCCGTGGAAGGTCAGCTAGAGTTCCGCGCGCTGCTGTTCGTGCCGCGCCGCGCGCCCTTCGACCTCTTCGAGAACAAGAAGCGTAAGAACAACATCAAGCTGTACGTTCGCCGAGTATTCATCATGGACAACTGCGAGGACCTGATCCCCGAGTACCTCAACTTCATCAAGGGTGTAGTTGACAGCGAGGACCTGCCACTTAACATCTCTCGTGAGATGCTGCAACAGAATAAGATTCTTAAAGTCATCCGTAAGAACTTAGTAAAGAAGTGCCTCGAGCTGTTCGAGGAGCTCGCTGAAGACAAAGAAAATTACAAGAAGTACTACGAACAGTTCAGCAAGAACCTGAAACTCGGCATCCACGAGGACTCTCAGAACAGGTCGAAGTTGGCCGACCTGCTGCGCTACCACACATCCGCATCCGGTGATGAGGCATGCTCTATGAAGGAGTACGTGTCGCGCATGAAGGAGAACCAGAAGCACATCTACTACATCACTGGCGAGAACCGCGACCAGGTCGCCAACTCGTCGTTCGTCGAGAGGGTAAAGAAGCGTGGCTACGAGGTCGTGTACATGACCGAGCCCATCGACGAGTACGTCGTGCAGCAGCTCCGGGAGTTCGACGGCAAGACCCTGGTGTCGGTCACTAAGGAGGGTCTCGAGCTGCCCGAGGACGAAGAGGAGAAGAAGAAGCGCGAGGAGGACAAGGTCAAGTTCGAAGGTCTCTGCAAAGTCATGAAGAACATCCTGGACAACAAAGTTGAGAAGGTCGTCGTGTCGAACAGGCTGGTGGAGTCTCCGTGCTGCATCGTAACAGCGCAGTACGGTTGGTCGGCGAACATGGAGCGCATCATGAAGGCGCAGGCTCTGCGTGACACGTCGACCATGGGCTACATGGCTGCGAAGAAGCACCTCGAAATCAACCCTGACCACTCGATCGTGGAGACTCTGCGACAGAAGGCGGAGGCCGACAAGAACGATAAGGCCGTCAAGGATTTGGTTATCCTACTGTATGAGACCGCCCTTCTGTCGTCTGGCTTCACTCTGGATGAGCCTCAGGTGCATGCGTCGCGTATTTACCGCATGATCAAACTTGGCCTGGGTATTGACGAGGACGAGCCCATCCAGGTGGAAGAGTCTGGTGCCGGCGAGGTGCCCGCGCTCGAGGTGGACGCTGACGACGCGTCGCGCATGGAGGAGGTCGATTAAATCTCAGTTACGTTCCCGCCTACTACCGCTATGTTGTGGTTATCGCCGTTTATTTTTGTGCACTGGTGTACAACCAAAGACTGATTTAGTTCAAAAAATTCCATTATTAATTACGATTAATAAATAAATTTTAACCTAAGTTTTTTTAATTCTCATTTCTCCTGTATTCTTAATTCTTGTACTTAGAACTTGTGATAAACAAAGTTTGAGTTAGCATTGTAAATAAAATATATTACAAAATAAGATTTGTTTCATTTATTCAAAACACATAAGCCTTTGAGTCTGAAATTGGGTCTATAGAGTATTCACCAGAAAGTTTTAGAGTATCTAGAACATCAATTACACTTTCTGCTTATAAAGAAAATATAAGCAGATATTGTAAGTAAAGTATTTCATATAAAAACTGATTTACATGTTCAGTCTGTTAGAAGAATGCCTGGTACGCATTATACCAGCACAGTAAGACAGCTTCGCAGCCTTGTTAAAGAAAAAAAATTACAAATATTAACTGATGTTAGCTTTCTACTTGTGGAGACAGTTCCGTAATTCCGACTGCATAATGCCTGCTACACACTTGGATAGTAGCGCAGGCAAGGAATGGTATGTATGAACCTCACTGAAGCCAATCAGTGTTATCATTATGCCAGTTAAATACCAGTTTAGTTAATGAGTAAAACCAGGAATAAACTTGTCTCATGCC